CATCTTTTCCTCTATTATTATCAGACAAGACAGACGCAGAGCTTACGAATCCAGACTGTCTGACTGATGGACCCAACCCTTCCCTCTTTGATCTTACAACCCCTGGCCCCCTGCTTGTTCCTCACACCCTCCGACCATCGCTGGTCAAACCCTTACCCACTGAGCCCTGTTCTCTGGAACTCTTCACCCTACTTCTCTCTTCCCCCTGCCTTCCAAACCCTAAAATGGTGAACATTTCAGCTGTACCTTTACCAAAGCCCTCAAACCCTCTCTTCTCCTCCCTTGCTTGGTGCTTCCCGTTCTCATTGAAAAGAGCGCAATGGCCCTTTACAACTCTAAATGTATGTCCTCTTGTCTACTAAATTCACATAGTCTACATTGACACTCCAGTACAACACAGACTCAGTCTACAAAGGCATCTTTAATATGAACACACTACAGTTCCTCCCTACTCCCCATGGCTTGGATGGTAAAGAGCGGATAAGAGTAAAGAGGGGAAAGAAGAGAAATAAAAATGGGGCGAGTGAGTGACCCAAACGCAATTAATTGGAAAAAGTAGCCTACGATCACCGCAGAGTAGTTTTGCAGCGAAATCTGTTTCTCACATTTCATTCTTCCTTTTCTCCGACTGTAAATCTATGCTTTATTGCTTTCATAAAAATATCTGTGACTCAAATGATCTGTGGAATGGTTCTATTGATCCAAATATATGTAACTCTGGGCTAAGCCCGATTGTGCTGAAAGGCACCAATGTTACTGAAGCAATAAGATTCCTGGCATTGCAGAAGCCAAGTTTGCAAATGTCTCTCCCCCTCTCCCCCCGTCCCTCGGGATCACAGTCTATATTTTGATTTTAGCCTATGATCCCGGCTGCTTAAAGCATTTAGGTGTTTCTCCGTGAGACTGAGTCAGTCGTACATCTCTTTAGAAACAGGTGCTGGCCCTCAGATCCTCAGTGACCATCTTTCGCTCCCAAGATTTTCCCACAAAATACAGTTAATTCACTTTATGGTATATTCTATGAAGTGCTTTGAGACATATCAATGGCATAAGGAGTGCCCACGTATATATGTGTGTGTATACAGCCGAATCCTGATCCTGTTTACACAAGGATGCTTTCCAGCAGAGGTTTACTGTGTGGCAATCAGTAGTATGTTAAAGCCCTGGCTAAAATTTTGTCCCATCTCCCTATAGCTCAGTAGTGCTGTCAGCTCGTGCTAGAGAGTGTGTGACAATGTGTGTGAGTGTGTGGGGGTGATGGAGGAGGTGATATCAGAGTGGAACAGGTTGTGTGTGGATGATGGAGGGGCTGGTATGTCCCTGTGTTAAACTGGTGGGAATGTGACCATTCAGCTGCCCAGGTATTTTATAGCCTTGCAAAGAGATGCCTGGAATTCTGGCTGCAGGAAAGTGACTCCCACAAAAGGCTGAGAAGAGGGAAGGGAGCTTCGTGTTTATGCTTTGGATGCTTCAGTTAACAGCTGTGAGCATGAGCAGTGGGTATGGAATGCACAAACTGAAGCGGGTCAGTTCCCTGTCTGACTTGACTTCAGTGTGTCTCATTGGCTCTTCCTGTAAATGCACAGAACACACCAGCTTGAAGCTGAGAGTCTTCACAAATGCCGCTGAACATCTCGCGTGAGCCTCGGTGTCAGCTTCCGCAGGTCCCCGGTACGCTCGCCTCGCAAATCGAGAGGTCCCGGGTTTGATTCCCGGCCTGGCGGGGTGAAAGCTTAGGCAAATTTCCTCACTCCACACGTCTGTGTATACCTAGCAGGAAGTAGGAACCCGGTGGTTAATCGATTGCCAGTGGTAATCCATCTGGAAATGCAAGTTCTTTCTTTCACCTACAAAAGCCTCGAACTTCCAAAACCACGCTCCAATGCGCACACACGAGGGAGAGGGTAATAGGACGGATGGTTGGGGGGGGGGGGGGGCTCGGGTGGTGTATAAACCCTGGCATGGACGAGTTGGGTTGAGTGACCTGTTTCCATGCCGTATCACTCTACTCCTATGACGATCCTGAGAATTGGAATATTTCAAAGACTTCACTCACACAACAATCGCTAACAATTGGTGGACAGATATTTATTAGGTCAAGGTATTAAAGGGATATGGGGCAAGGGCGGATAATTGGACTCGAGGTACACCTCAGCCATGATCCTATAGAATGGCGGAACAGGCTCGAGGGGCTAAATGGCCTGCTCCAGTTTCTATGTTCCTATGTTTCTAACATATTCCCCAGAGAGCTGTGAACTGCACCCTGCAGTTGTCTACGTGGGGAATCCAATCCATAGCCTGGCACTTGCTCAGGACCGAGCCAATGCCTGCCTGCTCCTGGTTGCTGCAGTACCTTCTGGGTAAGGTGATGACATAGCTTCTGAGCCTATATAAACTCTTCCAGCTGAAATTCTGGCTCAGAAACAAAAAAAAAGATATTTATTACTTTCCCTGCGGTCAAAAATGTTTTAGGAAGTTATATAAGTCACCTTCAGAGCCATACCAGCTATGGTGATGTCATCCCAACCCAATGCCCAGACTCTTCTCATTTGGGGTAAGGGTGAAGGAAATGCTTTCACCCCCACCGCACCCGACCCCCTCCTTCCAGGCCAGACGGAAGGAATTAATGTGTCATTTTGCGTTCTGCTGGCTAGTCGCTAGCTAATCGGTGCTTGGGGACGTCTGAGAGTTTAGGCTCCACTCCTGCAGTGCCTAAGAAGAACAGCTTCCAAATATGTATAGAAAACCCATTGTTGAGCTTTAACTATACAAGTCTAACCATTCCCTGGGTAAGATCGTAACAGCAGCTCGCAGTTACACAGCAAATCCTGTGGAGTGGAGTCCTGTAGCTCAGTGATTAGAGCACTCGCCTCGCAAGTGAGAGACTTGGGTTCGATTCCCGGCAGCGTGAAAGGTTGGCCAAGTTTCCTTACTCCACACGCCTCTGTTTACCTAGCAGTAAGTAGGAACCCGGTTGTTAGTCGATTGGCGGATCGTTTTTGCGGGGATAATAACTCCTTCAATACAAAATAATAATTAAATTGGTCATTTCAATCCACGACTGTCTGTGGGACACTACTGTGCACAATTGGCTGCCGCTTTTCGCCCACAAAATATACTGTATGTTCTGTGAAGCGCTTTGAGACAGCTCAAAGACGTGATAAGGCGCTATATCAAAAGCAAAGATTATTGGTATTATTATAAATGTTTCATGTAGGGTGACCTGCCTCAAAGCTCTTTGCAGAGAATAAATAGAGGTGGTGAGGAGAGGAAAAGCCATTAGAAACTGTTGGTCAAAGACATGTTCAAAGAGATAGGCTTATAGAAGGGTTTCTTGAGAACAAACTCCCTTGTCTGTCTCCCCCTCTCATGTCCCCCAGCTACTCCTTCGCTGCTCCCTTCCAGTTTGGATCCCAATCCTTCTGGGACCAACAACTTATGATGTTGCGACTATCCCGCAATCAGGTGGCGCTGTGCTAAATGAACAAATGCAATATCTCCCCCTCCTCCCACCCTTACATCTCAGCTCTGTTCTAAGGGAAAGCTTTACATGATCTCATCTGTGTTTCTCACGGACGTGGAAGTGATAGGTTCGATTGGGAATCTGCTTTGATCTTTTCCCTTGAGTTTCAATGTTCTTTCGAAATCTCTCATTCTCCTCCCTTCTCTCCCAAAGTTACTGAGTCCCGTGGAGCCGGGCTTCCACAGACACTGGCTGCCCTCTGGTACATTGCCCAGTTAGGCCATTATTCCAGTGCCAGCCTAGACAGTGAGTGTTGCCAATATATGAGACTTTTTTTTGGGGGGGGGGGGGGGGCGGAGGGGAAGGGAGGGTGGGAGCTGTTGGAAGGGAGGTGATTGAGGTTGGAAGAAATCACAGCTAAGATTTTTTGCGGTCTCTAATAATAGCAAGCCTTTGCACTTGACGTAGGGCCGATCATGTCAAAAAGCACTTCGCGAGTAATTGCAATGAGTTTTGTTTTTTGGAGTCAAGCACAGCAGCCAACTTGCAAGCAGCAAGTCCCACATCAGTGAACGACCAATTTATGTGGAGGATTGTTGGCCAGGACAGCGGGAGAAACTCCCTTTGCTTCTTTTTTTTTTCGAATAGGGACACAGGAGCTGTAACGTCCGCCTGAACGGGCTGACTCGACGCCGCGCTTCTTAACGTCTCGGCCAAAGGATGGCACCTCCAACAAACACCCCCCCTCCCCAAACATCCCCCACCAACCCCCCCACACACACGCGTCAGCCTCCCTCCCCCGCCCCCACCACACGCCCCCAGCACTGCTCTAAAATATCGGACAAAGCTTTTTTTGGGGGGTGTCAGCTGGGTGTCCCGACAAACGCGGAAACCCATCACCGCGCTTAAAGAGCATCCCAACCAAGCCGTGAGCTCCGTGCATCCCCGCCCGAGACGTGGAAATCCCCCGCCCCACCCACCCACCCACCCACCCCCATCCTGCTCATCTAGTTCGGGGAGGGAAAATTCTCGGGCGAGACCGTGAGCACAAAGTTCAGACGCGTGGCTTGAGCCAGAGGCGAACGCGCTGCCAGCTGACCACCCCAACCCCGGCCCCAACTACACGTATGATGGAGGGGAAGGAGGGAGGGAATGGAAACGTAAAGCCAAGATGACGTGGATGAGCCTTATCTCAAAGAAGGGGCGTACGACGAAAGGAACTTGCAATGAGACTGCTGGGGCCAGTAGATGGTGCCTGCTTCCTGCTGCAGCAGGAATTTTCTTTCTTTACGCTCAGAGAGGTTCGGCTTTGGCTCCATCGCACCCTTGTTGTGTGGTCGTGTTCCACAGCATAGACAACGCTGTGTGTGTGTGTGTGCGTGTTTGTGCGTCTGGTCTGTCCTGTCCTGTCCTGTCCGCCCGCCCGCCCGCCCGCCCTGGACTGTGACGCTGACCCGACGATGGGGCGTTAGCTGAGAGGCGCAAGTTGAGAAGCGCAACCGTGCCCGAACTTTGCCCCCGGCGTTAAATGGTGAGTAGAAGGCTGGCGGCTGGGTGCGTAGGGACACGTTGGGGGAGCCTGCGGACTGATCGTAAACTCCTTTCAGCCTGTAAGGTCTCCCGTCGGGGCACCGGAGCAGACTGCACTTCGGGTTAAAGCCTTTCCCTGGATTTCTTTGTGTGTGTGTGTGTGTGTGTGCGTGTGTGTGTGAGTGTTGGACGAGGGGAAACAGCTGCGAAACAAGTAACTGGAGCTTATGATCCGTTCTCTCCCCACCCACCCATGTCCACCCTCTCCTCGCTCGGTGGCCAGGGCCCGGGCCTGATGGTGCAAAGGAGCCTCATTGACGGTTACATTTTCAGAGCCTTCTTCTTCTTCTTATTATTATTATTATTATTATTATAAAAATCGTTTCTCCCATAAAGTTACACAGTCCATTCACTTTGCGGTGTAGGCTGCGAAGCGCTTTGAGACAGACGTCTCAACGGTGTGATGCGGCGCCGGATCAAATGCAAGGGTAATAATAATTATGATAATTATAATAATAACAAGTTATTATTGTTATTGTATCCGATTCCCTTCTGAAAGCCACCATCGAATCTGCTCTCACCACCCGTTCAGCTCTGTACTGCTTATTAATAATCAATAATAATAATTAATAATCATATTATTATTATTAATAATTATTATTATTATTAATAATAATATTAATAATGATCCTTGCATTTGATCTGGGGTTTCATCGTGCCTTCGAGATGCCTCCGGGCGCTCGGCATTTGGTTTTGCCAAAGTTTTTGAGCCGGAGCTCGGCATTTGGTTTTGCCGCAGGTCCTGTGCAGATGACGGCGGTTGCCTTGAGCGGGACGAGGGAGTGAGCGGGCGGAGCGAGCCATGGTGACGCGGTGCCGGTGGGCCCTTGCTCTGGTGCTGACCGCCTCCGCCCTGAGCCTGGCGAGCGGCCTGTCGTTGGCGGAGGAGGAGGCGGAGGTCTTGCCGGCAGAGTGGGCACTGCTTCACGTGGTACAGGGCCAGATTGGCGCCGGCAACTACAGCTACCTGCGGCTCAGCCACGACGGCAAGATCGTGCTGCGGGTGAGGAGCTTGAGGGGCGACGTTGACCTGTACGTCTCCGACAGCAACCTTCACCCCAGCTTCGACGAGTATGATCTTCAGTCGTCCACCTGCGGCCAGGACATGGTGGCCATCCCCCCTACCTTCCAGCGGCCGGTGGGCATCGCCATTTACGGCCACCCCTCCTACATGGAGAGCGAGTTCGAAATGAGGGTCTATTTGGACCGGACAGAGCGGCTGGACCACTTCGCCGAGACCAACGCTTACTCCTACTCCGAGGCCTCGGCCGGCAGGAAGCAGACCACCGGGAAGGAGGAGGAGGAAGATGAACGGGAGGAGTCGGTGCTGTGGACGGTGCTGATCGGAGTCTTGAAGCTGCTCCTGGAGATCCTCTTCTGAGGGGTGAGGGGTGGGTGGGGGGGGAGGAGGAATGGTGGGTGGAGGAAGGGGAAACGGGGCATGTTTAGACATCGCTTCAGTCGTTAATGGACAGAAAGACTGGGATCAATGGACTTAATGCCAGTCACTCAATGGAAAGGGTTCACCCACCTGATGTTCCCACACGTGTACCACTTGCCCTGAAAATGTTGGTGGTGAGGTCGGGTGGGGGGTGCTTTTTTCCACCCTTGCCTCAATTCTAACCGTTTTGTGGCCTGATTTTTTTGTTCTTGTTGTTTTGATGGGGTGGTGGGTGGGGCGGGAGGGGACAGATGTTGGGAGTGGGGGGTTACTGTGCGTCACGGGAGAGGAGGAGAGTGGGAAGGGACACAGCTGACTCGCTTGCTCTTTACTTAGCAGTAAGTAGGAACATGGTTCTTAATCGATCGGTGGATTGGTGGATCGCATCGCTTTCCGGGGGTAATAATCCCTCCAAAGCGAAAAAAAGCTAATCCACATCATTGGTCACTTAATCCACGACTGCCTGTGGGGACGCTGCTGTGCCCAATTGGCTGCCGCGTTTCGCCCACAAAATACACAGTCGATCCACTTTACAATATATTCTGTGAAGCGCTTTGAGAAGTCTCAACGACACGATCAGTCGCTGGGTCAAATGCAAGGATTACTATTATTATTAATCTTTTCGCCATAACTGGAGGGTGTCTCGCGACATGTTCGAGTGAACTCAATAAACAGAACTATTTGACGGAGTTATTGCCAGTGCCATATCCACTCACATCTCTTCCCCCCTCACCACCCCTATTCCCCCAGGCACATTTAGAATTATTCTCCCCCTCCCCGCTCCACACCATCAGATATTTCAGGTATTTTGATATTAAAACAAAACAGCACAGGTGTTCTGAATGGACTGAATGGATATCAACCCTGTGAAGTAATGCAGAGGGTACAGTTTTATACAGTAGCGCCTTATCACAGCAAAATGCTTTGACTAACTTGACGGGGGGGTCGCTTTTGAGCGGGAGGGGCAGTAACTTGGGTAAACATGTTGTGTTAGAGCCCACCCCACCACCCTCCCGGTCTCACAATTACTATAAAATACACAGTACCTATACTTTACAGTAAATCCAGTGAAGCGCTTTGAGATTCCCTCCCAGTATGAAAGGTGCTTTATCAGACGTAAGGATTTATTTTCGCTGCTCACAAATATTAAACCCAACACCTGTCCTTCCAAAATCCTTTAATTATACACCCTTCACCTCTCCCTCTTGCTTTCAGACACAACCCGTTTCTTTTGCCGAATCAGAGAATAGAATATTTTTGTGATAAAGCGCTGAAATCTCTTCGAATAAAAACCAAGGAATGAACAATTTTTTTTTTCCTCTCTCGGAGTCGAAAATCGAATAAATGGGATTGTATCGATTCCCAAGCAGTGAGTCTCGTTCTTTGTGCTCTCACGTTAAGGGTTCAATTCAGTGAGATCTCCAGGCCTGTGCCCCACAAAGCTTCAAACAGTACTCGTCAATATAATTGACGGATAAGGCGGCCCATTCCAGCTCAGGTAATAGTCTTGGGGCCCTGTAGCGCTTTGTTTAGAGCACTCGTCTTGCAAGCGAGAGGACCCAGGTTCGATTACCCGGCAGGGCGAAACCTCAGGCAAATTTCTTTACTCCACGCTCCTCTGTTTGCCTCGTAGTAAGTAGGATCCCGGTTGTTAGTCGATTGGCAGATCGATTGGCAGATTGGTACCTCAAAATAAATAAATAAGTAAATAATAATTTGGTCACTCAATCCACAACTGTTTGTGGGAGACTGCTGTGAGCAATTTTGGCCACAAAATATACAGTCAATCCACTTTATAATATAATCTGTGATAAGACGCTTTCTCAAATGCAAGGATTATAATTATTATTATTATTATTATAATAATCCGTGTTGCAGCGTGCTGTGTTTTAACGCAGGTTTGCTTATAATTTAATGCTCCTGAAATTGTTTTGAGATAATTTGATGTTTCGAAGGGATTCAGATGAAATGAAGAGCCAAAAAGCACCCATCGGAGAAGCTAGACTGAAATCCGCTCTCTGTACAGACAGTCTTACATTACCCAAACTGTCCTGACAATTGCAGGTGATGTTAGATCCTGGAAAAGTCTCAGCCAAAATTCTTTGGAGGGAAATGGTTTAAACTTCTAATATCTTTTGGGGGTGGAATTTCACTGCATTGTGTTAAAAGTTGTGGCATGTGAGACAAGCCGATAGCTTTAGCAGCGAGGCATCTTAACATGAATGAGCATCAGTGTTCTCTGGCACTGAGGTGTGTGCTTTGACTGGGGGATAGTGGGTGGGTGGGGGTGGTGGGGGGGAATGTATGGTGGGAGAGGAAGGGAACTGTGCTTTACATTAAATCTCAAACGTCAAGAACAAAACATCTGTGAAGTCAGATGTCACTGACCTCTCTTTCCACTCGTCTCGTCAACGTCCTCTGTTCTGAAGACCAAACTCCTTATTTTCTTTGTGAAAAACAATCTCTCTCGGCGAGGCAGGAAATACCAATTTTAGGCAGGAATACCTTAAAAAAAACATGGATCAGCGTGTTTCTCCGTGGCGGATGGAAGAGAGAAACGTGGCCGTCTCGATTTCCGAGATACACGCAGAAATATATCTTTGTTACCAAGTCAACAGCTGTGGGATAAAGTTGTTAAAGCAAAAATGTTTTTAAAGAGAATTAGTTTTGCCTTAACGTGCGATTGCTTTTTCCCTCCACCTTTCCCACTCCTTCCCCATCTTCAGGTTGAGCCCAAAGACCTTCTTCTTCGATCATTTTCCCCCTAAACTCTCCCCGGCTCAGCGTTCTGTCAATCGTTCTGGGACGCTATTCTGCGTGACGGGGCACAAGTTTTCGCTGTGATTGCTTTCCCAAACGTTGAACTTGGATGGAAGAAACCTTAAAGTTACAACGAAACCGCAATGCCAACACACACACAATGCTGGAACTATTTAAGTTTTGAGGATACCTTTTCCATCTGTTCCTGAGGTCTTGGAATGCAAAGTCGGGAATGTTTTGACACGTCTAAGTTTCCCCGACTTTCAAACCCTGATTGCAGGGGCACTGTTTAAACCTGGTAGAACTATACTTATGTGGTGCACGTGTTTCGCCCACAAAGTACACACTCAACTCACTTTACAGGATATTCTGTGAAGCGCTTTGAGATGTCTCAACGACGTGATAATGCAAGGATTATTATTATTATTATTGTATTTCCCACAGCCTGAATCAGAGAATAAATGCTATACTTATGGCCCGAGGGCAGCAAGTAATAATAATAATAATAATAATAATCCTTGCGTCTATAACATTAAAAGAGCTTCACAGGTTATTGCTGGGACTGTGCAGGGACTGTGAATTTGTAGGCAAATGCAGACATTACATGGTAGTGTCTTTCATTAAAGAATAAAATCCGGGTTCATTGCTCAATTACCAGAATGCAGCATATTCCAGGTGATAACTTCTCTCTACCCAATATCAGGGTGATAACTGCACTCCTGTGCGCATACCCACATTAACATTTGTTTATCCCCCAAAAAACATATCGACAACGTTTTAATGGTTAAGTGCAAGACTGAGCCACACAGACTTGGGACATTTTAGTACCACAATTCTCATGGCCTTCACTATGTCAGTTGATTACACCCGTGCGGCTGGGAAGATGCTATTGCTGAGCGCTATCAAGTGACACCTTGATCTGCCTCTGTCGTTACCCTCCCCACCTTGGAATAGCGCGTCAGGGTTCTATGTTTGGACTCGTGCGTGAAGGACAGCCACTTGAGCAAAGTACCAAACCTTGTGAATTATTTCCCCGTCATAAGTCAGTGGCCTTGGGAGAGAGGCGATCAGCTTCAGCTCCCACTACTTAATGAGTAAAGCTAATCTGTGCAGTAACACTGGCATCCTGTAACTTTTAAGACCTCCGTTTGCCAGTAAAACTCCATCAAGTCTCCTGATGTTCCCTTGACTTCAGCAACTTTAGAACTTTAGAACGATCTAAAGTGTGATTTATTAAAGACTCTTATTTCTTCCATTCCTCTCCGAGACCCCCAAGCACTGAAATAAAGGTTCTATTCTGTGTGGTTCCATGTCCTCAGGGGAAAGGAACACAGTAGTGCTTCTGTCTTCTTTGACCAGCCTGTTTTAACTACGTTGATGGAAAGGGGAAAAAAATCTAGGTGAATAGCTAAGCAGAGCATATTTAATTCTACAAGCAGCTTCTCAGAGGCCAACTCCTTTCCTGTTAGAACTCGGTGAAAATGTTCCCAATCTGACCTGTTGTTTCCTTAAAGGTGCAAAATTAAATTTTATTACAGTAATAAACTTTTAATTTGGTACAGAGCTTTATCACGTCTTTGAGGTGTCTCAAAACGCTTCACAGAATATACTGTCAAGCGAATTAACTGAATTTTGTGGGTGAAACCCGGCAGCCAATTGTGCACAGCAGCGTCCCACAAACAGTCGTGACCAAATTAATTTAATCAATTTGTTTTTGAAGGATTATTAGCCCCAGGAAGGCTATTCTCCAAACGACTAACAACTGGGTTCCCACTTACTTCTTGGTAAACAGTGGCGTGTGGAGTAAGGAAACTTGCCTGAGGTTTCACCCTGCCCAGGAATCAAACCCAGGACCTCTTCCTTGCGAGGCGAATGCTCTAACCGCTAAACTACAGGACTCTGAAGTCTTACTTCACGAGTAACTGGTAAAAGGGGAGCGGAGGACATGACGATTTGATGGGTGTCAGTGAAAGACCTGCACACCTTCAGATGTGTGCATACCTTTCAGCCCAGGTTTGTGGAAAGCGGTTAGGAGATCAAATCCTGAATATTTTCCCCCCTCCCACGCCTCGCCCCTTACCAAGTCCAGGAGAAATTCAGGCCAATTGTATTGCCAGCTCGCCCCCTTCATTGTCGGTTAGACATTTTCCATTTCCCTGCACCAGCTATCCCGTGGCTTCTCCGAATGCGATTGCCATTAAAGTGCTGGATTCAGGGCAGATTTATGCTGTTAGTCCCACTCGGAACTGGCTCCAGACCAGTGTTTCATTGTGTTGTGCCTGGCCTTGTCTTCGAGAGTGGGCGGGCGGAGGTGGTGGATGGAACAGTGTTCTGTTCCACTCAGTGTGCAACCATGGAGCAGGCAGTGGACGTTATATGGGACAGTAAGGTAAAAAAGGAAAGGTTCCATATGTTGAAATGGGGAGAGGGCTTATAACAGACTGGGCTACAAAGCATATATTTCACTGGCATGTTTCCTTATTGGAGTCTGAATCAATTTTAGATTACTGCAAGTTCTTTTTCTGTGCACGGTCAAAGAACGGAGGTTTGGCATTAGACTGACTGGTGGTTTGCCTTGCACATGTGTTTGATCTAATTCGTTCCATTAACAAGGACTGCTTGCCATCAGTTCGCCCACAAAATATACAGTCAATCCACTTTACCGTATATTCTATGAAGTGCTTTGAGATGTCTCAACGTCTTGATAAGGTACTATATTAAATGCTATATTTATTATTATTATTATTATTTGAGCAGGTACGAGTTTGAGTGCGCACACATATGTTTAAGTGTGCGGACACAGGCGGGTGGGTGTGGGCACGAGTTTGGGTGTAACAACAGGCATTTAAGCATTTACATCTGGGTCAGTGACTTAAAAATGTAATTTATTTTGTAGTCAGTTGTGATTGTTACTATTTCTTACTGCAAGAACGACAGACAATACTATTCATAACACGGCAACACTTTATAGTAAACTTGTTTTCTCCTCTAACATTACAGAATTGTGAACTAAAGATAAAGCATAAACATGCAGTAAATAAATTATACAATAATTTAATTTAACAGGATAAGGAAGCGCTGATTTAAATTGCAATTTGATTTTGTTTTGCTTTAAACCCAGCTGGCTATCGGGACAGCTTGTCTTGCCGGTCTGTAAAAGGAATATCTCTCGGATTCTCCTGGTCTTCCTGTTGGGTGTCTTTGCTCCGGTTTCGGCTGTGAGTTGTGGAGTTTTATGCGTTCGAACACGTCATTGTCTGGTTGCAATGTAATCTGCTTTTCCCTGTGGTGGTAAGTGTTGAGTATTCGAATTGGGTCGTTTCACGGCAAGGATCTAATTGACCCTGACACAGAGACTCAATCTCGTTTCCTGCTGAGGGAATTGATTACACAATGCTGCCCCCCCCCTCCGTCATCTCTGAGACATTCGTTCAAATCCATTACAGAAAAGGAGGTCTATTGCTGGATGGCACTGGATGTCAGGAGTAGAAATGCGCTTTCATTCTGACCGCTAATACTCTCTCAAATGAATGCATTTACACTCCGTCCCAATCCAAGTTCCCAGTGAACACAGGTCAATACTTGCACAGCTCATTGAAATCAAAACCAATTGTAAAACTTCCAGTTAACCAGGAGTGGTACATATACTAACAGCTGTAATACCCATTAGTAATAATATACATAGACCAAGCGTACAGTCCCTAAAGCAGCTTGTTAATAGTACAGTACATCACTTCGGTGCCAAACCAACTTAATTTTCATTTGTACATTATTTTCTGATATTCAACACAGTTAATGGTAAAGGTTAACATAAGATCAAATAGACCCTCTGATGTGGATAAATGAATCGCTTGAGACCACTCTCTCTCTCCCTCAAAAGGCTGTGGATGTTGGATCCATTTAATTTTTCAAGACTGAGCCGCATAGATATTTGTTAGGTCAGGGTATCAAGCGATAAGGGGCAAAGGCACGTGTTTGGAGTTCAGACACAGATCTCCCATGATCTAGTAGAATAGCGGAACAGGCTTGAGTGGCTGAATGGCCTACTCCTGTTCCTTTGACACTGTGGGTTGATGGCTGGAGGTTTATTAATGACCAAACTCCCATTATGAAGGGAGCTACAATTTATGAATGCCTTGAAATCCATATTTGGTTTGTCTATTTTTAGTTCACTTGAGCACGAGAGCAGTAATTGACTCTGCACATTTTCACCCAATGAATTATTGTTGCCGGGGCTCACTTTATTCAGCTCTGTCTTGCAATATCACAATTAGCACCTGGATTGCAGCCCTGAATCAATAGCTGGCCTCATCACCTGAAATTGCAGCAATCCATCTATTTTGAGAGAAATAAATTACTGTTGAACAAGACAATTTTCTCCGTCTCATTCTAATTGTGGGGTGGGGGGTGGGGGGGGGGGTTGATCAATGCGGCATTCACTGGTTTGATCTAATTATATTATAAATGGAAAGCTTTTAGGAGATTGACATCTAATGGTGTATTAAATACCATATTATGTGTGCAGTGCAGGGGAATGCAGTTGAGACAAAGTCTTAATGGATGAATAGCTAAATATTTTTAACAGTGCTATTTCTGGGTAATGAGCATCACCTGCTTTGCAGTGCAGTTAAATGGCAGTTAAGATGCTCACTGTGATAGCAGATAGGCCACAAGCTATATTTCCCTCCTGATCAGCTTTGTGAGTACTCTTAATGTGGTGAAATGGGTCTGAACGTAGAATTTGCTTCCCTAACTTCACACTGCTTACACCTCCTCCTAGTGGATGGCATTTGAATGATGTTGCTACAGTATTTGGGCAAAGATGTGAGTAATTGAGTTAAGAGGTAAGTGTGTGCCTGTTTTGGGGTTGGGCAAAGGTACAATCCATTCTGCACTTACCAACTGAAGGAGGGGGATGTGGATTTCTTTTTAGGCCAAATTTTTTTTTTAAAAGTAGCTTTCGAAATAACGTTGTTGTAATTTAGGGCGTCAGAGAAGCATAGACGCAATGAGTATCTGTTAGCTTTCAGCTGAGAACCTCAAAGCTGTCCCTGATCTATTGTTTTGTGGTACGTAGAGCATGGAGTGGGGCTGTGGCGGGGCAGAAAGGTCTTCTCTTGTTCCTAGGTCTAGATAAGATGGGCAATTGGCTTAGCTCGATGGGAAAATTGGACTTGGGATAAAACTTTGCTCTGTTGGAGTTCTCTCGGTGACCATTGTTTTAAAGTCGATGATTTTTCTGGCTTTATTGTTACTGACTTCAACCCTGACAAGACGTACACTGCAGTGTTGCTGGTGCATCTTAGCGCACGCATGAGAGAAACGTGGGTTGCATTACGACACGCATTAACCCTTTCAACACAGTGTATTCTTCAGAGCTTTCGAGACGTACACATCTTCGAAAACCCGGCTTCCGTGGTGCAAAGAGATGCAGATGAATTTTGTTGCTAATGGTGCACTTCAAACGAATTCCGAGCTTTCAGCCTTGTCATGTTTCTCATTGCAGGGCAGCCCTTTTCAGGCATTAATCGATCAAGTTCTATAAATCAACTCTGTTCTGTGTAGAGTATTTTCATTTCTTCCACCAGCCATGTTATGGAGTGATTGGAGTGATTGCTAGGAGCTGAGTTAAGTTGAAATTGCCCAAACTTATTTTAAACCATTCACGTTCATCAGTTTTTCAAACCTAGGTTCTCAGAGGTGAATGGACAAGATCTTAAACCAATCTCCCTAACAGCCCCACGATTAAGCAAGTGAATTTGCAACTTACTTTGAGCCCAAAGTATCGAAAATGCCCCTTTTAGGATGTGTGAATTCTACTGCCATTTTTTATGGCGTTCTTTATGTACAGATTTTACAAGATCCCTATTCTATTTGGATAAAAGGAAAGTCCATTGCGGTTTACTGTTGAGGAAATCCACTTCTCATATTTTCTGAATTTCTCCTCCTCTGGTTCCTGCGATTACTGCTCTGCCCCGATGGGTAGGCTACAATTTGTGACTGTGCAGGTCGGATGCCCCCCAGTCTCCTCATCTCGATCCCGATCTGCGTCAGGGTCTCGGCTGGGGAGGTCTGAAGGCGTTGGAAGAGGCTTTGGCGGGTCACGGTCTTTTCCTGGCAAGTGAACGTCATGGCGTTGCCCACGTTGACCTTCATTTCTCTCGAGAAACCATCCGAGGTACCGTCAAAACAGCGTCCGATGGCGATCTCCTTGGCTAACCTCGGATTTTGATCCGTGACTGTATAAATGCCATAATTGTGGCCCAAGGGGTCAACGGGGGCCAACATATTGAAGGCGGCTGTGTCATTGTTCACTGCCAAAGGGGGATGTCTGCGGAGATATTCCTGGAGGAGGTTGGTGATGCCCACACGACGGCAACTACCCTGGGGAATAACTGAGACCAGAGTCCGGTCAGCCATGCTTTGGTCAAACAGCATCCCGCCACACTTGAACTCCACACAGGCCGCCGAAGTATTGTGGGTCTTCATGTCCCGGACGCTGCGGGTGTCCCTGATACCGTACAGCTGGCCCCTGGTCGCCTCGTGGGTGCCCCCGGTGTTCCGCGACCTCAACACCACCTCCTGCGGCCCGTTGATCCTCACCTTGATGAAGCACGCCCGGAACTCTTGGGGGTTGGGCCACCAGGAAAGGTAGTCCCCAGTCCAACTGGTCAAGTCGTTCTCCTCGAAGGGAACCACATTGTATTCGTACTTGTTTTCTTCCACTCTGTAGAAGCGGAAATGGTTCGCAGATATAGGGGCGTCCTCACAGTCCTTGAGGTTCTGGTAGGCGTATATTGGGCCATTGGTTTCTTCTATGTTGTTTTGGTTGGGCTTTGCCAGGTTGATCTTGAAGGCGGTTTTCTTGAGTTTAGGGTCCTCGTGGTCTGTCCTCTGGTACCCTAGTTTGTCGAGGAAAGGCTGCGAAACACCGATCAAATTAGGGTTCATCTTAGGACTTGAGGCCGCAGCCTCTAGCTCCTCGGCAGCAAAGGTGGCAGTCACGTAAGCGGTGTAGGCATCTGGTCTCGCGGAATCGCAGAATGCAGGGAGGCAGGCTCCGTTCGCTCCCGTAATGACGCTGTCAAAGCGCCCCCACGCCCGAGGATTGGCCGTGTAGCCGGCCATAGGCTCCAGGTTAATCAGATTGATTACGACGCCCTCCAGTTGCTCACCGGGCAGAAAGCGCTCGCTCATGTACGCTCGTACTTTCACGTAACAGCGACGGTTTTCCGGAACGTCCAAGTTGAACAGCCGGCGCTCACGGATCTCCACGTTGCCGATCAGAAAGGTCCTCTCCTCGCGCTTGTTGCGGTTCTTCCTCTCTATGTGAAAGACGCTCTCTTCCTCCCAGAAGCCAGTCTCCGGATTGAGAGACCACAGCTTCATCTTGCGAACGTGCTCGGGCATCTTGATGCTGGCTGTGTCCAGGTAGACTTTCACTCGTTCCGCTTGAAGGGCTTCGTTCGATGCCTCTTCCCGGAAGTCAGCTGAGAACATGCCATAGGTCCTCAGCGGGAAAGTCTCGCCCTCTTCGTTGACGAAGTTGAGGTCACTGGGAGCCGTGTTTGCCAAGGTGATGTTTCTAGGATCAAAGAAGGTCACGCTGGCCTTGACTTTCCCATTGTAGATCTCCCCATTGCTCCTGTGGAAGACATTTGGTGGGATCTCTATCTCCCCAATGGGATCCTCTTCCTTCATTTCCCCCAGAGCGATGGTGTTGGTTAGTGTGGAGTCAATTTCTATCGGTTCCGATTTCCTCATCAACTTGACCTCAAAATACACGGCACTGCCTTTCCTGTCGAAGGGAAAGACCTTAACGGTATCCACAAACTTATTCATCGGGTCAACGAATTGGACGACGAGTCTTTCGGTTTCCTCTGGGACTTGAATGCTAAAGGTTCCTTTGTAGCCTGTCAGGCCAACCCTTTCACTACCAATAAAGATCTGTCCAAATCGCAGAGGCTCTCCATTATCTGCAGCTCGGGCTCTGCCTCGGACTAGTATTTTAGGTTCTATGCATCTCTTACACCCACACCCTGTGATGACCTTGATGGGAAGGTTGTACCCTTTACAACGGATCTTTCGAAGCTTCATTCTCTTGACTCGGCAGCAGTAGTTTGTACTATCTTTGCAGCGCAGATCAAAATCCAGTTTCCCGGCGCATCTTGTGTTTGAGCACTTTCCCACGTTGTAGAAGAACGAATTGGTAGCCGTTTGGAAACAATCTTCTGGCAGTTTGATGAGATGCTCCATTGGCGTTGGATTACAATTCACTTGACCCTTGGCTGATGGAACAGTGAAACAAAACCACAAAAGAGTTAAACAGTATAAGCAATTAGCCACATCGATACACTGGATAAATTTCACCTATCTTGTTTAAATGTACACTATAGTCCCACTAATGTCATAAATTCAATACTTTTTTGAGAGCAAAGCTCTCTTTTACTTATGATCTTCCTCTCTCATTTGCCGCAGAGGCTTAGAGGGCGGGAGGAATCATTCTCCAGAACCCGTGCCAATGCTGCTCTGGTACATGTGAAACACGGATGTTCTGGTAATGTCCTTCCTGCTAATTCTCCTCTCCTTTGGCAGTGAGCCATCCTCAATTGACTCCTAGGGTAAGATATGTTGTTAAAATTGCATTCATAAATACATCATCAAGGTCACTATGCTTAATGGCAAGAAGAATATCACTCACCCCCCCCACCCCTGCTCAACTACAAGGTACCGCAGTCTAATCCTCTACGAGTTACTTGATCATTCACCTCATTGCTGTTTATGGGACGTTCCTGGCACAGATTAGAAGACAGAGAGAGCCACTACATGTGAAAGTAACTCAATATACAAATCAATTTGAGACATTTTGAGGGGATAAGATGTATAAAATGAAAGATTATTAATTGTTATTTGATGTAACTTGGGTTGTCATAGAGTCTTGCGCTCCCTCTGGCTTAGCAGAGATGGGAAATGCAATAGGTAGGTGGCTTACTTTGACCGACATAGGACCAGATGCGGAATGCTCAGTGTCCAAAGAAATGTTACGGTAAACAATAACCTGGTTACTTGGAGGCACAACAGAATTGCAATTGGTTTTATTGATTCGCCATCAAGGTATTTAACCTCCGATGCTGTTTTCGGCAGGATGTTTTGTCCTGTATCTTTGTACAGCTGTAATAGCTGTCAACGCCACCGTACAAACCGCCTTGCGCACATACTGCGGGGAGGCTTTTGCAGACATCCATGTCAAGGAATCCGTTCTCTCTTTGAACGTATTCCACGCCTAATTGGAGTTGAGCTACGTAAGCCATGGACATTCGAGTAAAAACTCCCTAAAAGGCAGTGCAGATGTCTCCCCTTGCCAGCCTGGCTGGATGATGGCTGTGTTAAATATTTCAAACATTTCTCAAGGTGATTATTGCTCTGCCTGTTATGAGCCTTGACATATTGGCTCTGCCTGGGATCTGTGACTCAATCTAGTCCAGAAAGTGGAGATGAAGGCACGCTCTGTTTAATAGTTGTTGAGGGTCAACCGCTGGGTTAGTTGACTGAGTCTTGGTCCAATTCTCCAAAGGGCTCTTGTATTTTAACACTTTCTGTCTCGTTCTGAGATTCTGCAACCCAAGGGATGAAAATCGGAGCAGAGATCCCTAGCCTGCCACATAAAGCAATTAATCAAACGTCGATCTAGAAAAGTCGCTGGATAAATACCCAGTTAGGAATGTGATTAGAGCTTGTAAGGATATCACAGTACAGAAAAGGAAGCTAATTGAATGCTTGTGTTGCAACATGGTTGTTCCTGAGGTGCTGGGAGCAGGAAGTTGTCATATTGTCACCTCTTGAGTCCAACCCCCAGCTCGAGTGCAAATCCTTCACTGTCCAGTTGCCTTGGGACGACCTCCCGATGTGAAAGACCCCATATAAATGCGAGTTGTTGTTTTATAGTAGAGGGATTTTTATGGTAGCTATCCCGTTAAGGGTTGGTACTGACACTGGGGACGGGAGAAACGAGAAAGGCTTCCTCTTCCTAGCACTGACAACCTTTAGCTTGAGGAGCAGAAAGTTGACGACGAGCTAAAGGGAAAGAATTGTTCCGTGTGCACAAGGTGCTACGGACTTCAAAAAAAAATCACCTCTCACTGCCAATGAATTCCAGATAAATCATAGGAATATGGAATAATAATTGTTAACAGTATGGAACCAAATCATAACAGAGACCACGCAGCGAATGCTACATGCTGGCATAAGTTCATCATTCAATTAATTTTACACCCAGTGATTCTGTAATGCTTGGATCAGATGCTTCTGTGTGCAAGGCGGGGGCAAGGAGAAGCAGGGAGGGGGTGAGTGACTCCTGTTTTGAATGAGCGTTTCAGGCTGTTGTTTTCTATATGAGGTGGGATAAGAACAGGGAGAGCCAGAGGCAATGTAATAGGTTCAGACGTCTCCCAGATTTGATCCTGCCTGTTGGGAATACAGAGAGAATTGGGGAGTTTTTACTCGTACACTAGTTTCCTACAGTCTAACGCACACACAAACGCACTCACCAGCAGCCCTGCGTTTTTCAGGCAATGGTTAATTTAGTTTTCTCTCACAATAACTGAGTGGGTAAAAAGCTTCTGACCAGGTTTCGAGCCTGTCACAACAGGAAAGTGACAGATTCGAACCCCTCTCCCCCCACGACTTGCAGTCGAGAACAGTATTACCACTGGTCCTATTACCGCTGGGCTAGGGAGAGGAAAAGGACAATGAGCCAGGTTTCTCCCTGGTAAATACCCTGCCACTTAAAACGTCAAGGTTCACACGTTAGGAGTGACCACATGGAGGACAGTGTGGAATCAATCCATGCAATGAATCTCTGAAGTTTATCACGCTAGCAAACTTTTTGTAACAGCTTTGGATTGTAAAGACACGATGACTACCTCACAAACCGCCAGCAGTACATCTGCACAAACGGCTTCTCCTCCCACTCTCACCAGGTTACCTGCAGGGTACCCCAATGATCCACCCTTGGCCCCCTCCTCTTTCTGATCTACATGCTCCCTCCTGAGGATGTCATCTGCAGATATGGGGTATATTTCCACATTATGTGGATGACACCCAACTCTATTTTTCCACCTCTTTGCACCACCCCAGACCCCTGATATTCTGTCAGCTGCCTGTTCGACCTCAGGGGCTGGGTGAGCGCAAATTTCCTTCAGCTGAACGTTGACAAGACGGAAGCCATACTCTTTGGCTTTCGTCAACTTCTTAAAGTCTCACGGCTCTCACCTCCTCCATCTACCCGACCTCCCACTAAAACTCTTCAAACCCGTACGCAATCTAGGCATCAGGTTCGACCCCCAATTATTCTTCCTCCCCACATCCGGTCCGTCACCAGCACCGCTTTCTTCCACCTCCGCCAATACCTCTCTCCGAAAGCCGCTGAAACTCTGGTCCATGCCTTTGTCACCTCTCAGCTGGACTATTCTAATGCCCTCCTCCATAATCCAGATTATTCAAAATTCTGTCGCCTGCATTCTCACCCGCACCAAACTCCCCAATCACCCCAGTCCTGGCCAGACTGCACTGACTGCCTGTCCCAGAGAGGATCGACTTCAAGATCCTCATCCTTGTCTTCAAATCCCTCCACTCCTCTGCACCCCCCGACCTCTCTGACCTCTCTCCTCAAAACAGTACCTGTTGCCTTCGTTCCGGGTCTGGCCTCCTCCTTGTCCCCTGTGTCCTCCTCCCACCTTTGGCAGCTGTGCCTTCAGCCACTATGCCCCGAGGCTCTGGAACTCCCTTTCTTACTCCCTTTGTCTCGCTCCCTCTCTTCCTATTTTCAGGACTCTGCTGAAGACCTTTCTTTTCGACCGCGCCTTTGGTCACCTTCCCCCCCACCCTCTCCCTCTTCCCCTCCCCCCAGCTCGGCCCCGGGACCCGTTACTGTGAAGCGCTCTGAGACGCCATCCGGCGTGGAGTACGCTATATAAATCCAAGTTGTTGTTGTTGACTACATCACTACGTTTAGCGGTTGGGTTATGATGGTTGACAATGACTTCAAAGGCCTGAAATTTTACCTAATTTTAGCCACTAGACCGTTTTGCCTTCAAGTTCAAGGACGTGAACAATTCTTAACAATTCGGTCATCATTTGGAAACAGGTTGTTTGTTGTTTGAGAACCATGGAAAATCAGATCCCAAATGAATTCCGAGTTGCTTTTCCGGAAAATTTATTTGGAATTTTTCCAAAATTCCATGGGTCGTTACATTTTTAAGGCAAATGGACTTTTGAGGTTAAGACTAGATGGAATTTCAAGCCTCTAGAGAAGAGAGGAGAAAATGAGGGAGTAATTATTATGGAGAGGGGTGTGGTGCAGGAATTCTCACTGCATTTACATTCATGAGTGTAAGTTTATAGCGTTATGTTGATGACTTTGAAGAGGGGGTTGGGCCTTCAGCTTCTCTGCCCCCCCCCCCGCCCCCTTTGTAACTCCAGTCCCTTCGCTTTGCTCCCATTCTCCCTCGCCTCCTTCAAAGCACGTGTCAAGATCTTCCTCTTCGCCAGTGCCTTCGGTCACCCTCCTCCCCGCTCTCCACCCCTCCTGACCCCAACCCCCAGCTCGGGTCCAAATTCCTGACTGTCCAGCACCTTGGGACGTCCTCCCGACGTGAAAGGTGCCGTGTAAATGTAACTGTCGTTGTTGCTGCAGTTGCAGAGGGAGGTGAAGCCTCAACCCTGGACTTTGTTGTCACATTTGGTGGATTGATTCAATATGCCAAGGTGTAATCCGTCCAGCCCTCGTCAGCTGGCAAGCCATCAGTGGCCGGGATATGGCTGTGGTGTCAGAGACAGCTGAATCACGTTAGACAAGGAACGCATTTGTTATAAAATTTAATTGATTTTCCCTCCTCAAATATTTAACAGGAATTCCCATTATAGCATTGCACCCTGCAATTTATGATATCACGCTGTTAATGCAACTCGCTGTTTCATGAACCGCATTTGAAAGCTTCAGAATGTTTTCATTCCGTCCCGAGACAATTGAGTCCCGTTTACTCTTTGCATTTTTTTTAATTTTTTTTTGCAGGAGTTCAATCTGGTTTTCGGCAGTGTTTTTTTTTTAAAAAAAGAAACAGTCACGAATTTCAAGCCTATATAGGATTTCTAGTGCCAAAGTCGCTCACGGTGGAACACAGCCTTGCTCTTTGCATTGTTGTTGTTAGCTTTGTTCAGTGGGTAGAACGTTTATCGCTGAGTCGGAAGATTGTGAGTTCAGACCCTATGTTGGGACTTTGAGCTCACAGCTCAGGCTGACAGTGTATTGTTGGAGGTGGTTTTCTTTTAAGGTGTGACGTTAAACCAAGCTCCCGGTTGTCAGCCGATCAGGTGGACATTAAACATCCACATTAGAGTCCTCCCCAAGGGGCTAATCTGTTCCTCAAAGTCCTGCTGACTATCCAGGCTGACTAGTCATTAATTATCACCAAAGGTGCCTTGAAGCACTGTGGACCTGACTGTCTCAGGAACCAGTTTACAAAGTTGGCTGCAGAGGATGGACTGAATTCCATGTTCCATTACCAGGCACGTCACCCTGGTACCAACTCAACCCTAAAGAGACAACGCCTCCCCATTTATCTTCTCTCCCCGCCCCACTCCCCAGCGGACAAATGGTTGCCTAAAAAAGAATCGCTACATTTACGGTAATTGCATGTTAACTGCTTTGAAATGTTTCCACGTGATAAGGTGCAGTTACGAAAAGAAAGAACACATATTCTTTCCTTTAGTTAACTTCCTCCGTCCCCTTGTATGCATCGGGCTCCGCCACTGTTAAGCACTCTGAGACACAGCCCTGCTTGAAGGGCGCTATGTTAATGCAAGTTGTTGTCGTTAATACAGCTAAGTGTTGACCGAAAAAAAGACTCCCTCTTTTAGTATATGTCAATTTCCAGGAACTCAGTGTTGGGCTCAATTGAGGCATGTGTTATTTTCCAAAGGTTAAACGAGCAGCGATTAATGTAAGGAAGCCACGTACATCTGAGTAAATCCAAAGGGCAGTTTAGAATTCGAACAAACAGCTGTCCTTGAGGTGGAGAAAAAGAGTTTCCAGCAATGAAAAGGTTGGCGCAGTATGTGAAGAATCATGTGTGAAGCATTCTCTGTGCTCACGCAGGAGCCCACTTTACAATGTGCCCAATTTGCAACCGACTGTGACCTGTTAAACAATTGTGTCTGAAGCAGCATTTCTTAATTCTCAGAATTGGAGTCCGATTGTGTGGCCGACATTCTCAACTTACAATCAAGTGAAGAGGGAGATGTTGGCATTACATTGGTGGTATTCCACCCTACACCCTCTGCTCCCAGTTGACGTGTGGCTGAGAGCAAACCCCCCCCCACCCAAAACACACACTTCCTATCTCTGTCCAAATGATTGCACATGTCACCTATGTGGCAATTCATGGAACACCGTTCATCTCACCTTAAAGCTTTGCTGAAACGCCAAGATCACAGTCAGAGGCTCGCTGGCCTCAAGCCCAACCATTTTGATGAAGTTGCTGATAATTACCACGTCGAACCTTACATTTTTCACTTTTCCTGACTATTGCTGTCCTGTCACTTCCTGGTGTATAACATACTGAGCATGTCACAGGCCTGATTGTGCAGAGAGTATATTAGAAGCATAGGAGGTCACTTAACCCATTAGTCTATGTTAGCATTAGATTCTCCTCTGGATTTCTCTTGTTTATTCCCAATTTTTACCTCTCATTTGTACTGTATTGTTAAGAGCGTTGACTGCCTGTGCAGTATGTACAGAACTGACTGTGCAGAGACCATAACTGATTGACTGTGTTGGCTGTGCATAGCTACGTACCTATCACAGTCAGGGTTGCCGGTGCTGACCTGATGGAGCCAATCTGATTGCTAGCCTTACAGTAATACTCTCCCGCCTGCGAAGGCTTCAGTCCTCTCAGCACCAAACTATTCTCCATCTTGTAGTTCTGTTTGTCCAGCAGTGTCCCGTTGTGATACCTGTGTGAGAATGAACGTAAGAATATAAGAATTTGCTAGAGGAAAGAAGACCAAGTTCCATCCAGTTCACCTTCTACCATCCTGGCAGTTGCATGTGTATGTCATGTCCCAAACCACATACTATATCCCAAGCTTTTATTTCCTAAAAGGAAACTATCTAATGAAAGGGAATACTGCTGACAAGAATAGAAATTGGGACACGGAATATCAAGTAAGTTGGGAGACCAATTGAGACCTTAAAATAATGGCATTCCACACCCTTTTCTCATGCCTCCCCTCCCCAGGACTGAGTGACCAGGCATCAGTGGGTCTGTAACTGTGCCTTGTTCAACAGTGTTTGATCAGAACTTTTCACCTCCACCACTCTGGTTTGAACAGAACAAATTCATTTGAAAATGGACAGACACGGCCCCTTCACCTTGACACTAAAGTGCCGTATGTTTAACAACAACAACAAATTACATTTGTACAGCACTTTTCACGTCAGGAAGACGTCCCAAGGCGACGAATGACCTTTGCTCAGGGGCATTGGCTGAGAGGAATGGGAAAGCCTGGCTCGGGGTAGGGGTTAGCACAGCAGCGCTTCAGTGGGAAATAACAGTAAATCTAAAGACTTTTTTTTAAAAAAATAAAAAATCCTAAAACTCACCAGGAATATTGCTGCGGTAGTGGGTTGCCTATGGCTTTGCAGCAGAAGGTCACTCTGTTGTTCTCCATTCGGACTTTTGTCTCTGGGTGTTTTACTACGTATGGCTTTTCTGTGGTGAGAGGGAAGACGTAAGGGAATATAACAGACTGCAAGAAGAAGCACACATGACGTGCACAAATTAATTGTTATTAATTGAGAACCCAGCAGATGGGGCCAGAGCCTAATGATGGAAGCCAAGGTTTAGACGATTAGAAAAGACGAGATAAATTGAAATAGTGGTTGCCTGATGCCAAGTTTTATTTGCCTTCATTTTGGTCAGCCGGGTGTCTGGCAGGTGTGGAAACCCATCACCGTTGCTTAAGAGTCTCCAAACCAAACAGATTTCCATGCATCCCCACCTAAACATGGAAATCCCAGAGGTAGATTGTTCGAATGGAATGCACTCTCTCTCTCCCTGGAGGGACACATCTGCTTACCTAATTCCAGAAAGCATTAGGCACAAGTTGGCAAGAACCAAAGTTTGGGGAGACCCCAGTGTGTGCCTTGGGTTGGGGTAACTGCTGGAGTCTGACCAACTAAAACCTCATATCTTGCCATTTTGGGCTTAACCAGACTCTCCACTTTAGGAGAGCGGGCAGATTGTAGGAGATGAGGGGTTCCACAGACGAGAGGCATTGCGAAGGAATAAGTTTGTGTTTGAGTCCACGTAATGAGTCTGACTGTGAAAGAGTGGGTTAGATAATGGGATAGCTACCTGCTCGCTTGAGGACAGCTTTGATCACTGAAATCCGGGTGCTGTTGCGAACAGCTTGATACACAGCGGGAGCGAACATCTTTCTCTCGATCAGTACGCGGGCCTTGCTGCTGGAGCACACGCCGGGGATCCTGAACAAACCGTCTTCGCCCGTCATCGCCAAGGTGACGTGTGGCTTGCCCTCCATGGCCACCTTGCTGTGGGCGAGGGAAGCCCCCTCAGCAGAACGCACCGCGCCCAGCAAGACATGGGTATCGCACATACATCCACTGCAATCGTCGTTCACACGTCCCACTGGGCAGATGCGTTCACACACTGAAAAAAAGAGACATGCAGTTTACTGCTGTTACCCTCATTGTGTTGCTCTCTGTCCCTGCTGCAACTATCCTCTCTCCATTACCCTCTAGCAACTTGGCCAAAGCCCAAGCTTATTGCTGGAAGCACGACGGGGGAAGGCAAGAAGAAATGCTTTTTTTTAATGTGTTGCTGCAAGTGGTTATTAAAACCAAGGCACCTTAAAGGGAATGATATTATTTGGAGGTATTATTGAGGTACAGATCAGCCATGATCTAATAGAATGGTGAAACAGGCTTGAAGGGCTCCTCTTCCGATGTTCCTACGATTGAGATAATCACTCGGAGAATGAAGATGTCAGAGGGTCTGAGGAGAGGAATAGGAACAGGTTACAGGATTGGGGGCACGAGTATTGATTAACATGTTTGCCAAGTGCGGCAACTGGTGGAACAGGCTCGACGTGCTGAATGGCCTCCTCCTGTTTCTGTTTGCCTGTTCTCATCACGCTCTCCCAGCTAAAGTATAATACGGATGAAACGCAGAAGAAAATCTCCACTTATTTACTCAGCTCCAGAGCTTGGAAAACTCCCTGCTGAAGCGGGGGTGAAATCTCCCACTTCTGTCTGTTCCAAGGTGACCTCTCGACGTTAGCTACTTTGTGCGGTTTTCCCAGTCGACCTCCTAACATGAAGCCTGTGTCTTGTGTTTACCTGGGCAGGAGGCCTGGCCGCATTTCTTCACCAGGACCGCTCGTCCCACGCAGGTCTGTTCTTCTGAGGTTCGTACACACCTGCGCCGGCGGACGCTATGACCTCCGCCACACGTGACGGTGCAGTCCGTCCATGGCCCCCAGTCTGCCCAGCGAGCCTCTGTGGGAGAGCAAAGTGTTAAATTAAAAGTAAGCGTCAGCATTTCACTTCCGCCTCTGGATTCCGCTCCCTCCGCTCAGCGGGCTGTGGCCTGCTCCATATCCCTCACACGACCGCCCGACCATCGCCAATCGAGCCTTCAGCCTTTCTGTCCACGCCCTTTGGAACTCCCTCCCACAGTCCCTTTGCCCCACTCCCTCCCTCGCCTCCTTCAGGGCCTGTCTCAAGACCCTCCTCTTTGACTGCGCCTTCGGCCCCCTTTTTACCTCTACTCTCCTTGCCTTCCACCCCTCCTGAGCCCAACCCCCAGCTCGGGTCCAAACTCTGACTGTCCAGCGCCTTGGAACGTCATCCTAACGTGAAAGGCACTGTGTAAATCTCATTTGTTGTTGTTTTTGTTGGATCCACTGGTTACAGTGAACAAATGGACCTTACCTTTGCACGGAGCTGTGACGCAGGCTCTCCTCTCTATCCCGATCCCCTTACATTTCAAGACGGAAGCGATGTGGACTGACTTCATCTTGCAGGTGCGTTGCCTGCCCTGGATGCCTGTCCCTCCGCACGCACTCGCAGAGCATAAGCTCCACTCTGACCATTGGGACCAGTATGTTGGAACTGGATTTAGGGGGAAATAAAAAAGACTTAATGAGGTTTACTGATACATGCACAAAACAGAAGTATACTAAAGGCTATGCTAGGGAGCAATGCTGGATAGATACTTGTTAGGTCAGGGTATTAAGGGATACGGGGCAAATGAGGGTAACTGGACTTGAGGTACAGATCAGCCATGATCTTATAAAATGGCGAAGCAGGCTCGAGGGGCTGAATGGCCTACTCCTGTTTCTATGTTTCCAAGAGAGAGATTAGGCCACTAAGAAAAAACAGCAGCACAGATGTGATGGAGCCCAAATGTCCTACTCCTGTGCTATTTTTTATATATATATATATATATATAAAATATGTGATGGTAATCCTTGCATTTAACATAGCACCTTTCCTGAAGGGAGGATGTCTCAAAGCGCTTCACAGGATTTTGCATCCAGCACTTCCCGGCACAGGACAGGGCATCCATAATAATATTAACCCTTTTATTTTCTGTCAACCATTGATACCTCGGCGTCTTTCTGTAAAGGGCATAGCGTATTTTGCGAGTATTGGGTCCTGCCACTATGGTTGGAAAGGAGAAATTTGCAAAGGAATAATAAATCAAGTAGTGGCTCGGTGATACTAAGGTTTACGGTTTAGGAGGCTGGATTTCTTCTGTACTTATTTATTTTCACATGGTGACTTGTTTGGATGTGGAAGGCACTGCCTGAAAGGGTGGTGGAAGGAGATTCGATAACTACTTTCAAGAGAGAAGTAAATAGATATTTGGGAAGGACAAATTTGCAAGGCTATGGGGAGAGAGCGGGGGAGTGGGAATAATTTGGGTACCTCTTTCAAAGAGCGGGCACGATGGCCAAATGACCTCCTTCTGGGCTGTATAATTCTATGATAGCAAAGCTGATACCCTGGTTGATCACACACCCACCTATGGGACACCTGAACCTCACATGGTAATTGGAACAAATCTTGCCCTCGGGCTGTTCCTTGTTAATGCACCAGAACCCCTTGTCCGGCCTGTAGTGCACAACTTCTCCCGTTTCCTTGGCCCGCACCCATTCCGTAGTACGGGCTTCGATCGCCGTGGGATAGGCGCATATACGTTCCCGGTAGTAAAACCGTATGGCCTCCAGGCGTTCGTAATCTCCATTACCACCCGGGTGATCGATGTTAAACCAGGAAGTCCACTCAGTCATTTCTGTTTGGCAATGAGAGGAAAGCAACAAGAATAATAATAATCCGTGTCCCGTCTTCGGGACGTCTCGAGGCGCTTCGCAGAACACGCTATAAAGTGAGTGACTGTATGTTTTGTTGCCCCTCCTTGAGTTTGGGGTGTGCGGGCGTGGATGGAGGGACCAGTTAAGAGATGGGTTGATGTTTAGGCTGCAGTACCCCCAAGCCACCACCATGTGACAGTGCGGAGCCCAAACCTGCCACTCTCCTTGCAATAGAATTCCATCATGGAAACCGGTCCTTCGTAGGGATGGTATTGAGCAGGACATAGACTCCCCTCAGCCCCTGACCCATCTGGACCAGTGTGTACCTTGGGGGCAGCTGACGGAAAAGGCTAGAAAATTGACTTAGAATGACAGGCGGGGGGACGAAAAAAAAGTAAACGGTTTCAAAAATATCCACGGAAGAGGGGACCAGAAAGAAAATGGAGAGGACGTATTCATAACTCGCGTTTCTCTGCCCAAACGGGGCTGGGATTGTTTACCTGGGTTCAGTTCCTGTATCGCATTGTATCTTCTCTTTCTCGGCCTCTGAACCCGTCTCCATTTGTTGGATCCAGATTCATTTCCCTTGGGATCTGTGGATGCTGTGGAGAGAAATGGGGGCTTCTCAGACCGGGTCGGAGAGTGGGCAAAGGTGCAATTTCTGTCGGTCGGTTGGTAAAGCTCTGTCATTGATCGGGTCGCATTTATTCCATTATAATAATAATCCTTGCTTTTGATACAGCTCCTTATCACGTCTTCGAGACATCTGAAAGCGCTTCACAGAATATACTGTAAAGTGAATTGACTGTGTATTTTGTGGGTGAAACGCAAAATATAAGGTGTCGCTGGCACAATTTCACCCCTCCAGCAACTATCGGCACCGGAGCTAAACCAAAGCCCGGGGGTAGAGTGGATGGTGGAAGGGCGGAGGTATTGGTGTGGATGAGACGCCCTTACTCATCTGTTGATGTTAGCTCGATGTCGTGAATGCTGTTTAGCCTCTGAGCGCTTACCTGTGCGGAATCATTATACTATGATTCTATTATTTTGTGTTTAGCCCATAAAACGTACAGTAAATTCACTTTACAAGTATATTCTGTGAAGCGATTTGAGATGCCCCGAAGATGTGATAAGGCGCTATATCAAATGCCAGGATTATTATTCTTATAAAATTTTAGCACAAAGGGGTCTAACATGCGGGATTCGCACAAAGATTGGCAATGTGGAAAAAAAAACACGTAACAGACAAAAATAAGACTGGCGACCGAGCGAAGTTCCCAAGTGTGACACACACGCAACTCCGCAACGGGGAGAGATAACTATTGTTAGAGCGTGAGTTTAAAAACAAAGGAGGCAGAGCAGTACAATGATATCGTTGGGATGTGTTGCTGTGCTTTTTCCGGCTCGGCAGCTTTGAATTTCAGAAGCTTGCAGCTGTATTGTTTATTGCCCCAGGATCCTTGTGAATGTGCCACAGAACGAGAGAAAATAGAGCGGACATAATTTCAACAAGTTTTGGCTTTGTTTGCTGGAAAGAGGCACAAAGATATTTAGTCTGCGGTGGGTCGGAGATCGAGAGGGACATTATTTAAAGAATGGGACTATTTTAAACCTAGGAATTTGTGACGAGTCATTAACAATCGTTGGCGATCGAGGGGCCAAGACCTGAGGGATACGAGAGAAAGATTTCATCTAATTTCGCCCACAAAATATACAGTCACTTCACTTTACACTATATTCTGTCAAGCTCTTCGAGACGACTCGAAGATGTGATAAGGCACAAGATCAAATGCAAGGCTTATTTTTATTATTATTATAAACAAACCAGACTACAAATTAAAGGAATATCATCCTTTTATATAAGAATTATCCTTACATTTGTTACAGCGCCTTTCACGTCAGGAGAAAGTCTCAATGTGCTTCACGGGATACACTGTAAAGAGTAGCGACTGCGTATTTTGTAGGCAAACGAGGCAGCCAAGTTGTGCTCAGCAATGCCACACAAACAGCCCGTGAAGCTGATGACTAATTATCTGCACTTGTGTCTCCAGCGGGGATTTGAGAGGGGGAGAAATTCACTGGAGCTGAAATGACACCCGGTGATTAAAACAATATGTTTTGATGCACATTTTAAATGTGCTGGAGGTCCAAAGCGGTTATATTACTGAACAAAAAAGAAAGCTCGGGATAAAACTGCTAACCCACTAACCGGGTGCCAAACACTCAACAGCCGTCCTTGGTGATGATGTTAATAATAATAATAATCCTTTTATCTGATATAGCGCCTTATCACGACTTTGAAACGTCTTTGGGCGCTTCACAGGATATACTGTAAAGTGAATTGACTGTATATAGTTGTGGGCGAAACGTGAACGATGTTTTGTGTTGTCAATAATAACCCTTGCATTTGGTACGGCGCTTTATCAAAACATCTCCAAGCGCTTCACAAAGTTTTCGGTGAAGCGCACGGACTGTGTATTTGCAGGTGGAACTCCAGTGCCAGCTTTAAGTTATTGGTATTCTCTCTCTCTCTCTCTCCTGCTCATGTTGACTTGTGCCGGGGCTGAGCGGAGATGTCCTACAAATGCTATCTGTCACTTTGCCTGAAGTGGTTGGTATGTTTTTTCTTCTCTCATGTGCAAGTCTAGACATTAAACGTTGCCAGAGAATCTGTCCGTGGAGAGTATCGCATGCTCTCCTCACCAGACATCCTCACGCTCATTTTCCACAAGGGTTTCTGGACGGCAATCACAGGCTGCTTGTCCCTTCTCAGACCCACAGCGCTGAGTCACAATAGGAGACCGGCCTGAGATCAGCGCAGCCCAATAATCAATCCAGGTCCCACGGCTCAGTCCCACACTGAACACTTACGCACTAAACGACCTGATTTTAAACATCTTTGGCGCATCTCTATTTAATAATATGTCAAAACTAAATTATAATAATAATAATGATCCTTGCATTTGATATAGCGCTTTTCACGTCGGGAGGACGTCCCAAAGCGCTTCACAGAACACACTGTAAAGTGAATTGACTGTATTTGTGGGCGAACGCGGCAGCCAATTGCGCACAGCAATGTCCCACAAACAGTCGTAGATTGAAAATGACCAATTTATTATTGGTTTTGGAGAGATTATTATTAGGCTCTGTGTGGAGTAAGGAAACTTGCCCAAGGTTTCGCTCTGCCTGGAATTGAACTCAGGTCTCTCGCTTGCAAAGTGAGTGCTCTAACCCCTGAGCTACAGGACCCCACGAATTATCCTGGGACCTCAAATAAACCGGCAAATGTGTTAGATTCAATGAATTTGATTTAAGTCTTTATATATATATATATATACTGCTGTACAAGTTTAAGTCTTCTGAAGTCAAAGGGGTGAAATTTATTAGAAACGAAGAACAACAACAACTTCATCAACAACAACAGCGTGTATTTATTTAGTTCCCCTCACACAGGCATCTCAGGTAGTTTGGAGCTCGGAGAAGGGATGATTATGGAGAGTCAGGACAAAACAGGACCCTGGAAAGAAACCGGTAGAGAACCGATAAACATCTGAAATTTGATTGATTAATTTGAGGAGATGGGGAAAGGTGTTTGAAGCAATTTCATAGAAACTATTAAAAAATCTTTTATTCCCTCAGAGGCTGGCGGCATCGTCAACCTTAAATATCTTCCCTGCTTTATTAAGAGTTTTGCAGAGGTACAATATTAACAAATATATGGGTAGAACTTCCACCTGTGTCGAGATTTGCTCTACAAATGCAGCATTTCGGAACATTCAGAATGTGTCAAATTCTTCACTTTAGCCAATAATTTTGAAGCCGTTTTTCTGTAAAAAACAATTAAAAAGAACGACAGAAAACGCGTGTCCAGGTTGAAACTGAACTTGACAATTTGTCAAAGTCTGCATCCTCTGAAATGCTACGATATAAAAGTAACTTAGCAGTAAGTAAGAACCTGGTTGTTAAGCGATTAGCTGATCGCTTTCTGGGACTAATAACCTCTCAAAAAGAAATGTGATCATTCAATATTCATGGAACGCTACTGTGTGCAATCGGCTGCCGTGTAAAATACACAGTAAATCCGCTTTATAATATATTCTGTGACGCGCTTTGAGACTTCTCAACGGCGTGATAAGGCTCTATATCAAATGCAAGGATTATCGTTATTATTAAACCCAGACTCGGATGGAATTTCCACCCAATAGGTGGTGCAAAACAAGAAGCCAAATGAAAGCAAATTCCAAACCGAGACAAGGTGAGGAACTTGAATTTTAACAATTTAGCAACAGGCAGACTAAAACATCCAGATGATGAGGCTTTTTGAAATACAGTAAACCTCAGTTGGGATCGTACATTGAATATGACTTAAGCAAAGTATGAGTTACGTGAAACCTATAAAATAATAGGAAATTCAACAGGCAGATGTACGACTTAGGCGATTACACGATTTATACAGATCACACTTACGCGAGTATTGCCGCAGTTAAGGTCCGCACTTACCTGGAGCTGAGACAAGTTGATCGGACACGAGAAGACAAAACACCAACCATCCCTGGAATCCTTCCATAGCCATCCAGGTCTCCTCTTCCAACGGGTTTATCCCCTTAAATCCGTTAGCAACTAATATTCTAAACGGATCTTTTAATTTCAATTCCCCTTTTTTGTTATTCTCGTCTTCTATTACTTTTTTTTTTGGCGCGGGGGGGGGGGGGGGGGGGTCTGTTTTTTTTAAAAAAAAAGTTTGTTTTATAAAAGCTGCATTTCAAAAAAAAAAAGTGAATTTAAATAATAAGAATCATAATGAAAACAAAAAAGGGAACAGGTTGGTTAAGGTGGGGGTAGGTAGGTGTTCCAACGGACATTGCGAAGTGGTAAGAGTTCTGTGCAGACAGACAGCGAGGATGAGATCAGTGTTGGTTAAGGCTGCAGATTGGGACCCAAGGTCTATTTATGTAAGCTACCTCTTCTTTTTTTTGATTGGTCTTGAGGTTTTTTTCACAGCACATTCCTGACACACAGCTCTCTCTCGGTACCAGCGGGAATTACTGCTTGCAGTATTAAAAAAACAGAAGCTGGAAGGAACCCAAGGTTTTTTTTTTTTTTGGGGGGGGTGGTTGAAAAAAAAAATAGCCTTTTTTTTTCACTTGGCTAAAATGAGCACAGTGTTTGCAAATACCTCTAGCGTTTGGCCGGGTTCCTTGCGGTTCTGCTTAACCCCTGATGTGCCTAAAGAACATCAAGTGTTTCAAACCGAAGAACGTTTAGCGTTGGGGATAGGTGGGTGTGTAGGTGGATGGGTGGTGGTGGTGGTGGTTGGGGGGGTCTGCTGTTGCTCACTTGCTAAAGAGGTGCAAGAGGGAAGAAAACGTCCCATTAAAAAGATTAGATTCTGACACTATAAAAGAGAGATTATGGTTTGATAAAATGCAACCATTTTCGTTGGTGTTGCTTTTTTTTATATAATGAAATATTTCCACCCACTCCTTCAATCTGTTCCCCCGTCTCTCTGTCTCCTAAAGCTCTTTGCTAGAGTTCGCTTCCAAGGGCAACAGACAGAGTTTCGTATCTCACCTATTCTTTAGTAAATGATTGTGGCCAAAGCTGATTTGTTGTTGATTTCACGTCACCATCGACTGCAGACTAGCACTTTCCAGCTGGGGGTGGGGGCAAGTGGGTGGAGAAGGTTAAGGGGGTAGCTACTGGATTAGGAACTTTGGTTGACTCCCTCCCCCTCCCACCAGCACCACCACCAACAACTTAGGGCCATATCAACCGGTCCGCTCCCTCCGCTCAGCAGGTTGTGGCCTGCTCCACATCCCCTGCCTGCCCCTCCACCGGGGGTCAGGCCTTCAGTCTTTCTGCCCCCGCCCTTAGGAACTCCATCCCCCATTCTCTTCACCTCGCTCCCTCCCTTGCCTCCTTGAAGGCGAGTCTCAAAACCCAACCCTTCGACCTCGCCTTCGGTTACCTTCCTACCCCTACCCTGCCTGCCCTCCACCCTCTCTGATCCCGATCCCCAGCTCGGGTCCAAGTCACTGACTGTTCAGCGCCTCGGGACCTCGTCCCGAAGTGAAAGGCGCTGTAACAAATGTAATTTTGTATTGTATTTTTTGTATTGTAACTGTAGGTCAAGCTTTCTCTTCATCTGAAGATCACCTAATTCAGGGCAGATGAGCATTTGAATCTGGGATCATCCCAACCAAGCTTGGCTGGGCTCCACACAATAGTTAGCAGTTTCACTAACTGCGACATTTGGGGAACCACAATTTTCCAAAATAAAATGATCAAATAAGAAAGGAAGAAAAAAAAATGGGTTGTAAGTTTATTCTCCCAGTGCCAAGGACGTGAAATCATCTTCCTGGCGTGAGATTTATGTTCAGCGAGAGATTCGGTATTAAAAACGTATGTGCAAAGGATATGGTTCCCTTGCCTGTAATTTGAGAGAATGTGCAACAGTTGTAATGTTGAGAAAAAACAGTTATTCAGAGCATTTGTGTTCTAACAGAGCAATCACGGAGCTTACAGAACAGAAGCCGACCATTCGGCCCATCATGATTCTTCTGTGGCTTCCTTCCCCCATTGGAACCACTCGACTCCACTCCAATCCCATTTCCTTTCTCTTCCCCCTTCTATACCTGAATCCTTCAAATTTCGGTCTAATTCCCTTTCGAATGACGTGATTGACTTGGCTTCAACAGGTGCCGTGTGTAGATATGTAGACAGGAAAACAGCGAAGAGAGGTACAGAGGTCCAAACAAGTTGGGTCCTGTGGGGAATCTGCCCACTCACACAACGCACACCCACGGATCTGTCCTGTTGCCGACCACGCACTCTCATCCTAGGGGAGACGGAAAACCAGACATGGTGTCAACACATTCCAAGTCCTAACAGCTATTGAGATAAAAAAAGTATTTCTCTCACTTTCTCCAATTTTTCTCCTCATCTCTCCTCTCCTCTCCCCCCATCTTCTCTGAAAAAAATAATAATAAATAGTAATAATTTGGTCACTCAATCCACGACTGTTTGTGGGACGCTGCTGGGCGCAGTTGGCTGCCCCGTTTCGCCCACAAAATATACAGTCAATTCACTTTGCGGGTATATTCTGTAAAGCGCTTTGAGACGTCTCGAAGACGTGAGAGAATGTGCAAGGATTTTTTTTTATTATGTCTCTTACTGGTTCAACAGTCTGTGGGTGGGCCGTTGTTGGTCAATCTGTGTTATAATCCATGTTGTGTTCCTTGCTCAGGGGTATTGTTATGCGGAAAGAAAAAAATTGCCAATGTTCCAAAACTGCCTGAATCTGATCTGATATGGCCGCTCCAACAGCCTTACCTACAAAAGCAGTCACTGCACTTGACAGGAGCTAACAACAACACATTACATTTACACATCGCCTTTCACGTCAGGAGGACGTCCCAAGGCGCTGGATAGTCGGAGATTTGGACCCGAGCTGGGGGGTTGGGGTCAGGAGGGGCAGGGAGTGTAATATAAAACTACAAGTTCTTTCTTTATTAAAGGAGAAGATGGACAATGAGCCAAGGGTGAAACCCAGAAATGAAATAAAATAGTTTTAAAAAAACTCATCTATATATAATTGACTTAAAAAAATTCCTTCTGAATTCTCCTGCCTCAGATGGACCTGTCTTGGTCTCAGATGGATGACTTGGAGCTCGGTTGCAGCTCCCCCTCACTCATAGGGGAGGAAATTGTTCAAATCCATTAACACATTGTTATTACAAGAGTGGAGGGAGGACAACTGGGCGTGCTGGAGGGAATGGGGGTTCCTTGTTTCAGAATTCCACGTCTCTCCTCGTCCCTGTAACCTTGGACGTTCTACCGGATTGCTTTGGTGAAAGGTTTGTGGAGAGTCACGGTGACACTTCCCCCACTGTTTTGCTCTGCCGGGAATCTAAGCCAGATCCCTCGCTTGCAAGGCGAGTGCTCCAACCATTGAGCTACAGCAGCTAATAATCCACTTGTCCAGCTTTTTTGGTTTTTCCTTCTCCTCTGTCTCTTTTTTTAAACACGGTGGGGGAAGGTGAGGGCAAACAGGGTCATTGCCAGTGTTGAAAAGACTAGGAGAGGAGGTGATGGCATGTTAATAAATAGGGATTTAGGTGATGAGACACTTGGGTTTTTAAAGCCAAAAGACTGTGTGAAGGAGGAAGGGAAGCCTGGAAGAGGTAAAGAGCTTTGTCTTTTTGAGGTGTGAGGTTTGAATGGGTCAAGGCCTTTCTCCTCGACCACGCTTCGGTCACCCTCATGGCCCTCAAACCTTCCTGATAACAACCCCCAGCTCGGGTCCAAATCCCTGACTGTCCAGCGCTTTGGTACATCCTCCCGATGTGAAAGGCGCTGTACAAATGCAACTTGTTGTTGTTGTTTAGCTCTGTCAAATTCAGTTTTCTAATGCCCAAGCCAAAATGACCTTACAATGTCTCTGCCTTACTATATATTGTGATGTCTTGCTATCCTGCAGGGTTTTTCATTCCTGCTTCACAATAAGACTATCAGGCTCTCTCTCTGTTCTGAGGAGATGCTTTCCCCCTAGTTATTATCTCAGCTGTATCCTCTTGAACTCCAATAACAAGAAGTAATACTATTACCTTATCCTCTGTCTAACTACTGTAGTCCGTGTGCTCACCAAATCTCATTAAAATTAGGGGAATGTCTGGTCAACTCATAGAACAATAATTTGCCTTTTAATCATTCAACTGATAGAAACTCTAGGGAAATGGCTGTCTGCTTGCACTGGGCAATTTTATACCTTTCAAGTTCATGCACTCAAACAATGACTGGTATTACAGTGATAAACCTCTCAAATGTCGTGAGTCACTGTTCCTAGACTGCAAAAATAAACACCGTCCGACAGAATTTTAATGAAAAAATAATGCTGATCTCCTAGTATTTCCTAGTAGTTGACTGAGGGATGTCATTTGCCTTCAATGCAGATGGATCGATTTGCAGCCCGAAATGACCAAACGGTGGAAAAAACAAATTAATCTCTGAATTACCCTGGAAACAAAATATCCAGGATATCAACTGAATGCTACGAGACTCTCCCCTGTTGTGACTTAAAGAGCATTGTTACCTCTCGATCAAAAACATGAATAATCCTTACATTTGATACAGCAACTTTCATGTCAGGAGGAGTAATTGCTGTAAATTGTAGTGATATAATGTTATCGGCGTTATATCAAATGCAATCGTGTATCCCCACTCCCCCACCCACTCCACATCTCCCTTCTGTTTGTCAGAATCTAGCGCTGCTATTCGGAGCCCAGTGAAAGCTCAATCCATTCCTAATAGAACATATTCTGCACAGAGAATGGAAACCCACCAACCGAAGTAAATTCAGGGCCTTAGTGGAGCCTGGAAAGCCCCAGGTTTGACTCCAGATCTGTGCAGAGAGCCTAGGGGGAGAAAAAAAATCCAAAGGGAATTGGCTACGTACTTGTAAAGGAAAACAATTTGCAGGGCTATGAGGCAAGAGCAGGGAGTGGGACCAATCGGTTAGCTCTTTCAAAGAACTGGCACATTCACAAAGGACCAAATGGCCTCCTTCTGTGTTATTCTAGGAATGATTCTAGGAAAACAGTGCGAGCTCAGTAGAGATGAAGGGAGCCAAGCTCATCTGTATTGTTCAGTTCAATAGTTTACCAATGGAGAGGTTTCATCCTTTATCCATTTGTCACCATCTGCAATCTATTAGCCACTTATTAAATGTATGCATGCAGACTGGTTGCCCCTGTATATAATTTCATGCGGTCTCCCATTGCTTCTCCCCGAACAGCTGAAGGATCAATCCTACCCGAACATCATTCTATTTGCACATCTGAAGTATCTTCATTTGTCATGCACTCCATAAAAGCAGCCCACACTCTGGTTGGGAAGTGCTCTCTGCTTTATGAAGTGGAAATCTGACTCTGATTTTCCTACTAAATTGTGATGGAGCATATCAGACCACCGTCTGTTTATAGAGGTCCCCTTCTGATTCGGCTGCGTTAACTGCATCTGTCTGTGGTCTCTATGAGCCCCATTGGGATGAATAGGCTTTAATATCCTGAGATCTTACTGCTCCAGGATATTAGCAAGGATTTGTTTCTATCAAGGTTTGGGCACAGAGTATGCAGTTCTCAACTCAGCTGTGACATGGCTCTGATCATTTATTTTTTACGTTGGCACTCAATGCTTTTTGATCTGTCTCTGTTGAGGTTGAAACTTTTTCTTGTACTGGTAGCAAAATGGACTGGACGAGCGCCAGCCTTGCCTGATAAGGAACAAACTGTTTCCGCAGCATTAGCCATGAATGAAAACGTACCCGAAAAGGAGAAGTCCGCAAGCTCACAATGTTGCACAATAGTCATGCATTTGACTGTTGGTACAAGGAATACCGATAAGGTATTAAGTTATTTTAACTCATAGACTGCCGATGAACTCAGTGATCTCTTGGTGTGAGAAAGACATGAGTTTGTAGCACCTAGAACATCAAAATGCTTCACTCAAAGTAGGTAATTGCTGTCAAATGTAGTGACTTTGTATTTGTGGGTAAGTGAGTCAGCCAATTCGCACAGAGTAACGTATAGGAAAATAGGAACTGAAGTTGGGCATTCATCCCCTCAAGCCTTTTCTGCCATTCTATTAGATCATGGGTGATCTATACCTCAACTCCAATTATAATACATATGAAGCGAATGGCCAATTGTATCTGTTGTCCTGTACACCAGGTCTTCTTTTAGAATAGTCGCAGGATCTTTAACGTCCTGAACATGGGCTTTGGTTTAAATTGTCATCCGAAGGGCAACACCTCTAATAATGTAGCGTTCCCCTGGTATTGCACCAAAGTATCCTTGACCATTTGGTCAAAGCCAATAGCTTGAACCCACAATTTTCTGACCTAGAGCTATTCATACAGCCAAGGTCACAATGCTCATTCACTGTTGATTTTGAATGAGTCACCAAGTGGTCCACCATGGCTTCAAAGTATTACCATTCCAGCGAGTACAAGGTTAGTTATACAAGATTGCTTTAAGGTGATCATCTTCAACCTCATTGAATAATAGCATCATCAATACCATTGCCCAAACCATTCGTTTAGCATCTTCTATTTATTACAAGTATCAAATTTTGCAGCAGTTACACTTCAAGACCTGGTCAAACGAACAACATCAAATTTTTATTTCACTTTCGATCGAAGCATAGCTCTGCGTGAGAGCGGGGGGCAAATGTTAAGGGGACGCAGAAATTCCTAATCTTTGATATCGTAATCACCGTAAACCATACCTTGCAGTTTGTGTTGAACCAAATCAGAACTACAATGAACAGTGAGATCTACCTTACACTCCAATTATAATACATAGAAGTGAATGGCCAATTGTATCTAGAATTGCTGGCCTGTCAAAACCCACTGACTATTATTTTTGCAATTGCTGTTAACGTTCAGGTTTGGATTTGGACTGCATGTTACTTCTTTTGTCCTGTGTTGAGTAAGGATGTAGTAATCAACAGCCTCCAGTCCACAAGCTGAAGGTTATGATGGCCCCAGGCATTTGAAAGCACGAACTGAATAACATCCATTAATTCTGCAGCAGCTACAGTAGTATGCAAAGTCAATGGCTCAGCGTCTGTTCAGGAGCGCAAAACTGGTTACAGTGTGCAGTTTGCTTTTTGCACCTACCATTGTGTCACTCTCCCTCACTGAACCATGATATGAGTGCCTTGGGACATGAAAGGCGCTGTATAAATGTGATTTGATGTTGTTGTTGTTGTTGTATGCCAGCCATCAGCTCAAGGCGCCAACTCAATTCACCGGAAACTATTTTTTTTAAGAAACGTCAACTTGGTAAGTCTGCTAGAAAATGGTGGTTTCGATCAAGCATCTGAATGGCTGTGCAGCCGAATATTGTGTTGTATTACAGCGAGCTACATTGCACTGCAGAATAATGCACTGCAGAATAGGATTTTACGGTCCTTGGTCAAGTAACAAAGCAAGGCAACGAATTCTACATCGGTTTGTATATACAGGCATCATTGCAATCCACATCCATCACCACAAGACAGTGCCACGGAAATAGTCAGTCTACAATATCAAAACAGGTCATACAAACACAAAGTCTCTATATACTGTATGTTATATTTGTGCTAAAAGAAAACGAAACAGGAAGATGGCCTAAGGCTTTAATGTGACGTCCCACCCAGGTTATGCATCGAAATGAATCGCAGATCATCTGTACATAACCTGCAGCATGTGAAGAGACGGCACATTATGTGTCACCCACCCGACTGAACATCCATTCACCAGAACTCCCCCCTCCCCTTCCCTCAACACATCATTCCAGAGCTTCAAACACCACACAGCTCAAAGGAACAGATGACTGTAGCAATTAGGAACTCTTGAGCTCAATGAGGCTCCTCTTTATTCTGCTGCTGAGAGGTTCGGACTGACTTGGGTTGAGCGGCAGAACATCTTATGGGTGTTAAGAGTGTAATGTTTTCATTTCGCTCCTCCCCCACGCAGCGACTCATGCTGAGATGCGAGGCTACAGGAGGCTGTATCCACACCCCAGCACGTACAGAGAGTAAAAGTGTGAGAGAAAGAGCGGTCAGGGGTCTTGACATTAGCGCTGTCCAGGTGCCTGGGATTCCTTTAAGAGTCGGTTACACCAACCCAAAGCCACAAGGTCACATCTCTACCCTCCCTCCTCCCCCCACCCACCAGCTACAGCGCAGACCAGCGCCGCCTATAAGGGTGTCTGTTCATTTGGCCGCTCGATACATGCAATGGAAACGCGGAACGGAAGAAGTCGTGGAAGGCACGTTCAAGCTCAGGAGCTGGTTTGTACACTGTCCTTCCCTCCGTATCCCATCGTTCCTCAGGAAAACAACAGTGTTACTGGCACCTCAGTGTCAAGAAAACGCCTTGTAAGGTAAAGTGCACGTTGAGTAGAGAACCTCATGGGTTTACCTTGTCCTCGCATGGAGTTCTTCGCAGAAGACACAGGTAATGCCGCGAGATGTGTCTTCTGGCATTGAGGTGCCAATAACGATACTAATACTAATAATAATCCTTGCCTTTGATATAGCGCCTTATCACGTCGTTGAGACGTCTCAAAGGTGCTTCACAGAATATACTGTAAAGTGAATTAACCGTGCATTTTGTGGGCAAAACACGGCAGCCAATTTCGCACAGCAGCGTCCCACACATCGTGGATTGAGTGACCAAATTATTATATATTTTTTTGAAGGGGTTATTACCCGCGGAAACAAAACAACAATGCTTTCTGAGGAGCGTCCCTATCTCAACTCAACTCCGGTTGCTGGTCGGGCTTTGTTGTGACCCGGCGGGTAATATCAGGAGGAATCGCCGGAACGGCCCAACTTGTTGGGATTCGTCCTTCCAGCAGCAGCATAAAGGTCATTCCCAGCCTGCTAACAGCGTCCTTTTGCGAATATTATAAAACGTTTAGAGAGTACAGAGAGAGAGAGAGAAGCGGCCACAACACACACACACACACACACACACAGAGAGCTTCAGGGCAAACTAAACGGAACTGAACTGGACAGAACTGAATTGGAGCCATGTAAAATGTGACTCCTTAGCGAGGAGATACACTTTCCACTTTTTTTTAATTAAAAAGAGAGTTCCACAAAACGCGATCAATGTGTCTCCCACAGGGGGCCGTTGCCACGTATTTATCCTGACGTGGCTTCGCCCGGCCTGATTTGGGAAAGTCCTCTAATCCCCTTTTCTTTTGGCTGGCTCCTTCTCAGAGCTGCACCACGCAGTCGTTTCCTGGGTAATCGGGGAGGTTGAGCTCGTACTTCTTCTGCAGGTCGTAAGGCAAGTTTCTCCCGGCCAGGAGGTGGAACTTTCCAGAAAAGTGCGTGGCACACTTCTTGGGCGCTGCCAGGGATATCAGGACCTCTGGGTTAATGCCATCCGTGGTCCCATTCTCCGCATCCCACCCTGTCCCGAGAAAAGATTATCATTAGAACTTGTGTCTGGTCTGGGTACACGGTACATTGTCTATGTTGGATCAGAGAGAGCAGAAATGTTCCATCTTTAATGATCGAACCATTGGAACAGCAAGAGGCCACTTGAGCTTCTCTACCGCTATTTCACCAATTTATTGGAAGAAAGATAGAAAGATCTTCCATCGCATCTTCATTGAAACAGCATACAGAGGGTGACTACTGCCCCCTAGTGGCTCCATGTAAGGATGCAATGGCAGGGGGTTGAAAGTCCATCCATGAAACAACTAATCAGCTTTAAAATAATAATAATAGTAACACTAATAATCCTTGTATTTGATATGGCGCCTCATCGCGTCATTGAGACGTCTCAAAGCGCTTCACAGGATATACTGTAAAGTGTAGGAGGAATTAGGGAGAGGCAGAGAGAAAAGGAAGTACATTACAGGGCGTGTGATGTGGGGGTGGGGAAGGTGGACAAATCCAGAAATACCCCCAGAAAAACAATGTTAAATGAAAAGTACTGATTTGCTCCAGTCGCTGTTGGTCACCTGATGGCACATCCACGCTGATCATAGGGATTTTCACTTGTTTGAGGGTTGTAAGGATGCCAGAGAAAGGTTCCTTCAGCTCTATCTTGTCTGACAAACCCAACATAGCGTCCACGATGATGTTATACGCGTCGTTTATCAGCTGGACCTAAGGGTGGGGGGAGAATGGAGATCACAGCATTAATGGGAACCGGAATCATTTCCAAAATGCTCTTGCTTGTTTCGCTCTGCATTTCTCTCAGCTGGGAGCCATAGTTGGCCTCAGAGCTTTCTGCATTAGGGTAAATGGGGAATGTGTGTGTGTGTGTGAACAGCCAAGGTATCTGCTCTGAACACTATCCAGAGATTGTCCGTAGGAAAGTACATTTGTGCAGGGTTGGGCGAGGACAGGGTCAGGCTGTGTTTCCGTTGTGGACAAACACAATCCCTCCCTGGGCTCCCATTTGAGGAACGGTCACTCGGCCATGTGTGGAGGGGCCCCAGCACGAGGCAGTGCCTTCAGGGGAGCAGGTGAAACCTGTAAAAGCTGGTAAACGAAGGGCTGACCTCAACGACGAATCTTACCTCTGTTGGAAGGTAGGAGAGGAATGGGATATCCATCTTCTCACACTGGATAGTGATGTCCAGGTAGAGTGGGTTACAGGAGCGCTTCGGGTAAAAGATTGTCGGTTCGTATTCCTGCAAGAAAATCCAGAAACCTGCTTAACCCCAAACCTCGATGTTTTTTATAAACTATGTAGAATATTACAGCCCGGGGCCGGCAATTGGACCACCCTGAGAAGGGGCACTGTATGAATGCAAGTTATTGTTGATGGTGTTACAATTAATCTCTGTCCTTGGGAGGGGCCGTGAAAACTGACTGAGTGTTTACTCCTGATTGCTTCCTAATAGAAAATGTGTCTGAATGTGGGTGGCCCAATATTTGAACAAGTCGCCAATAGCTGCTGGGGTCTACCTTATACTCAGCTCTAGGAGATGGAGTCATGACTGTAACAACAGTTAAATCAGAAACTGTGGTAGAGTCAGAGGTTCCTCTCTCTTTGGAACAGTAAAAGATCTCTTTCACTGCCTATAGTCGGCTGAATAAGTCCCTGGGCAGCACGAGAATAAAGAACTGCTGTGTTTAATGACCCGACATTTCAGCTTTACTGTGGAGGTTTACAGCAGCCTTCCATTTCAGCAAGTCGATCAAATTATTTTATCGCTTCCTCAAGGTGAGGTTGGACGTGGTGGGGTGCACTACTTAGCCGGTCATTCGAGGAGATTTTGGGCAACGCGGGACTCTGTTCGTGCTAAGAGCAGATCATTTTCCCCCATTCCCAGGTTCAAATCTGTTTGAGCCTCATTTGACAGCTCAGTGGATAGCTACACCGGGGAGTGTGGTCTAGAGCCATAGCAATCAGTAAGGAGGCTAGTTAGTTTGCATTGAGGTGTCTCATCTCAGCTTTGATTAGCTTTTTGGGTGAAATTCTTTTCACCAAGAATAGGTTGAAAACAAGTGGGAGGATTCCTGCTCCTGATTGCTATACAGTTCACCCCACCTCCCCACAGACTCCCCCCCCCCCCCCCCCCCCACAAACACACTAGAGATATGCGTGTGGACATCAAAATAGGGAAAGGCTGTCAATAACATCCACCTTACAATCAAAACTCAGTCAACCCACTGATCCTCACTTTCCCGCAGTCTCGATACACATGGTAGAGAAGGAAGTTTGTATCAGGTGAGGCTACTGGAGCTCAGTGGCAAACGCAAACAGGAAAGAGAAATCCGTAGTTAACAATCTCCTGACTGTCTGTACTCCAAACCCCGCTTGTACTGTACATCGGCCAAGTGGCCGAGAATGAGAGGGAATCATCAGTCGGAACAACATTAAAATGGCATAACTCAAAAATGTAGTTACAACCGCAAGACCTATTCGGCAATTTAAACCTCCGTAATTCGTCCTGTTTAAATACCCACTTGTGTTGGCTGACACGGATCAAGCCAGGGTCACATGCATAAAAAGTACATTAGCTGGAAACTTGAGAATCTTTATGCTTTTCCACATATGCTTTCCCCATCGAGTACTGCAGCTCCTTAAAGACGTCTATTTTCGGGCTGAGGTTCAGTCAGTGCAACAACCAAACGAGCCATTGCCGGGCTGTTATTTCACAGGTGTGGAAGGATTGAGTTTCTATAAAAATATTTTTTCTGGGATTTCAGTCTTGCCCTGGCAAGGGTTTTGAGGGATTTTTCTTTTTTTTAAAAAAAAAACACGCGAAGCCAGGGACGTCCCCATCGGAATTCTGAAAAATCGCTGATTTTCCAGATTCTGCCTTCGGTTCAGCCGATGATTTGGTTCAGTTGGTGAGCGGTATCCGACCTGTGGCACTGCTGTCCAGAGGGAGATTCCATCTGATCCACAAACAGGCACAGTCGAGCTGGATAACATCTATTATGCTCATTCCATTCCCTTATTCGTCTACCCCACCTCCTACCTCCTTCCCAAGATGGAATACCTTCAGAGCTAGCGGTTAGGTTGAGATTTGCCAGCACACCACTAACTATGTGCATTGACTGCCCAAGATACGTGAAGACATTTGCACTCCGAGAGTTATTTTGTTTGATCGGGCTGATGTCTGACGCACGCAGAAATCCATCACTGTATCCAAACCAAACTGAGTTCGACTGTTGCTCTGTATCAGAATGGAATGCACCCACTCTCTCTCTCTCTCCTGATGGATGCACTGTGCTTACCTAATTCTGGAGAGTATTAGGCACAGGTTGGCATAGGATTAGGCTTGGGGAATAGTTGAGAGTTTAAATGGTTAAACTCCAGTAATACCGCAACTGTTGGATTATTACCTCCGGAAAGTGATCCGCCAATAGACTAACAACTGGGTTCCTACTTACTGCTCGATGTGTGTGGAGTAAGGAAACTTGCCTAAGGTTTCGCCCCACCCGGTAATCGAACCTGGGTCCTGTCGCTTGTGAGGCAAGCACGCTAACCACTTCACTGCAGGACACTCCAAATAATATTAGCCACATGACACCGGACGGTCTAACGAGACAGACGCCCAGATACTCACAAAGATGCGCAGGTGTCTGGCACACACCAGCCCAATGGCGCCGTTCTGTTCGGGCCCACAGATCACCAACACCGTGGGCTGCTTCTTGTGGAGGGAACTCAGAGGGTAAACCTGAGGAGGAAAGGCACGAGGTGGCGTTACAAGCTTTGGAGACGGCGATCAGAAAATGCAAATATTTTGCACAAAATCGGCAAGATTGAGCCGCTGTTTGTGATTCCGTTACAGATACTTTCAGTATATCTATTAACACACTGAGTCACCTCTTGAACACCCCACTCACTGTCACTGTTCTTGCTGAAACCCAGGACATTTTGGTCAGCTGGAGAGATCAGCTGTCCGCATGAGAAATGTTAAGGCTATTCCCCGACCAAAATATCCTGTTGGATCGTTATTACATTTTAAAAAACAATATTTACAGGAGTTTCTGTGACTGTTTGGTACGGGTTAATACTGTAACTTTGAGATTTGCACACTCAGGATTAGGAGGATAATGGAACAAGATCCCAGCTTTTGCTGCTTGTAATCCATTAATACCTGTAAAAAGGTGGTTTGGTCCGTAATGGGGATTAGTTGCCAAAGAGTTCTAAACTCTTGGGAACAAGGAATTTCATCCCTGACCTAATTCCCCCGCACAAAGGCTATTATTGAGTCTGACAGAAATAACTTCAAGATTCTTCTCAACTAGAGAGTTAACCAGTTCTTTGGTGAAGGAGTTAATTGACTTGAGTTTGCTGGGAGTGTGTTTCACATACATTGTGAGCCAGTTAGGCTCCGCCACGGTTAAGCACTCTGAGACGCAACCCTGCGCAGAGGGCACTATATAAGTGCAAGTTGTTGTTGTGGTTGTTGTCATATTGTGACATGTACCATTAGGACATTGGTTGGAGGCTTTAAGTCACTTCCATTCTCCCAAGGCTGGAAAGTACATGATGAAATATTTCAACTGGCAGAGTTGTTGACAGTTAAGTAGGCCAGATAACATTAATAATTCATCTTAAATTAGCTTTTAAGTGCAGAATGGGAAATTCAAAAGAAACAGTGATATTATTTTTTTTAGGTGGGGGTGAGGTGGGGGTAAGAGAAAAAAAATGTACATAATCCAGTGCAGGACTGAGGTTACAACTCATTGTTAGAAGTGCATTTATTCGGTTGAGACATTAAACCACTGTTCCCCAGGCAGACACTAACGATCCTGTGATTCTTATTGGAAAAGAGAAGGAAGTTTTTCCTGGTGTCTTAGGCAATGATCCTCTGGATTAATTGCTCATTCACTGTTTGGCTGGTCTTGTGGGCACAAGTGATTGCTGCATTTGTCATTGCTATGCGCAATTGGCTGCCCTGTTTCACCCACAAAATATACAGTCAATTCGCTTTGCATTAGATTCAACAAAGCGCTTTGATATAGTGATATGGCGCTATATCAAATGCAAGGATTATTATTAAAGAACCAGTCACTACAATTGGCAGCAACTGCTTGTGAAGAGATGGGGGATGTTCCAATGCTCTAAACTGCTATAAAGTGCAGGTTCTTTCTACTCGGGAGGAGATCAGGGTATCATTTCCTGAATCTGAATTGCCCCAAACGCACCGCATCTGTTTAGTTCCCAGGTGAAAGGGCAGCTGCAAGGCTGAATTTTCAACCAGTGCAAAGACAAATCTCTGCATTTACTGTACCTCAAGATATTACAGATGGATAAATGATCAATGCAAATTTAAAATAGAAGCACAGTGTTATACTACCTGCAGTTCAGGAAACTAGAAACCCACATTATGTAAAGCCTCAATGAATTTCCCATCTGATGTCGATTTAAGAAATTCCACTGGTTTAATACAGGCTGATATTTTTAACAAATGGGATTTGTAGCCGATGATGTATTTTTTTCATTATTTTTGCCTAAAGAAACCTCCCCAGGGATTTGCGTCGATTACATCAAGCAACTTAGCTCCAAATAACACAGTGAGCCCCTCATCTCTCTCCCTCTCTCTCTCGCTCTGTCTCTCTAAAGACTGTACGTAGAATGCTTGTGCCGTGTTTGATGTATGTGCAGACGGACCCCCTCCCCCCCACCTCTGGGCCGAGTGGTAAGAAGTAGACAACATCACTCGTTCATCATAGAGTCTTTCATCTCCTGCCTTTCAGATCCCCTGGAACAATCTGCTTGTGGAGATGTTTAGAGTATGAGACACCTACATTCAACTTTCTCCCCTCCCCATTTTTTTGCCAGTTTTCACCCGACTGCTGAAGACACAAAGGCACAGGAACTCCATATGCGGCCACTATAAGCCACCTCACCCAAGTGCCCACTGTCTATGTGTCAGACTGGTCGAGTGTGAGGGATCAGATGAAGAAGGGTCACAGTCGAGCTCTGAACCCTTCTTCATCTGATACCACTTTCCGCAGGAGGTCTATGGAGAGCAATCAGGAACTTGATTCATCCCCCTGTTCCTTTCCAACCCAATAGGTATTGCCAGCTTCCAAAAATGCTTTGTTTAAATTTGTTCCCTCTTCTTCCTTCCTCTACTCCCTCTCTCCTCCTCTCTTATCCTGACGAGGATAAGATTCCTGCAGGCATCTCTGGGTTCCTCACACAGATGGTCTTCATTCTTCATGGGTGAACACAGACAGCAGTTTGTTCAACCATGGAAGGGCATCACAGTTCAGGCCCAATGCTGTTCTCACCCACATCTGTTGAAAGTCGTGTAATGTGTTTGAACGGTTCTTTGGCAAACACCACAGGCCTGGCCTATAACATGTGCTTGCTGCCTTTAACGAGGTCACCTTGCCATCAGCACTTGTTAGAAATAAAAGGAACTGTTACATAAAAGGTTGTGATTGATATCCTTGCATCTTAAAATCGCTTGTTCAGACAGCGAGTCAGACCGGGTCGTTCGATTTACTGAGCCTGACTCGTCATCGTTGAAGCAGCCGAGTCGGCCATTAATCCTGAATATTTAAGCTTCCACCATGACTGCCAACTCAGCCAGTGTCAGCGTACATGGGACCTGGCTTTTTATAATAATAATAATCCCTGCATTTGATATAGCGCCTTATCACGTCGTTGAGACGTCTCAAAGCACTTCACAGGATATACTGTCAAGTGAACTGACTGTATATTTTGTGGGTGAAACTTGAATGTGCATACATGTGTGTGCCTGTGTGTGCGTGTGTGTGTGTATGTGTGTGCTTGAGCGTGTGTCATTGTGTGGTAATAGTCATTAAATCCCTCAAAACAAAATTCGGTCATTCAATCCACGACTGTTTGTGGGACGCTGCTGTGCACAATTGGCTGCTGCGTTTCGCCCACAAAATACACCGTCACTACACTTCACAATGCATTCTATCAAGCGCTTTGAGACGTATCGAAGACCTGATAAAGCGCTACATCAAATGCAAAGATTATTATTATTATTTCTCTCTATATAACAACCTCCCCACCCCACCCACCCCAACCACTTCTGTTAAATTCGAGCCTGTATCTCACTCCTGGGGAATCATTACTGATGCTTCACTTGACGGGTGCAGTTCTTTGCACAGTTGAAGCATATGAGCTGAGGTCAACACTAGTGCTGACTCACTGTTCTTGGTAAGTGATGATTCATTGTGTGTAGGGACAAAATAATCAGATGTGAAACCCAATCCCTCGTCTCTCATTGACCGATAACTGAAATAAGAGCTGTGTGCCCACCCCCGACCTCTTCTAGTGAGCTGAATATTGTTGGGAAAGGGGGGAGGAAACGAATTTGACTCCTACTCTCCCTATTTTGACAAAATACCTTTGACATTTCTGAATAAATGTAAACGCTTCAAATTATATTAATCTTTAAAACAACACGGGTTGCGGTGTAAACTGCATTGATGGCACCAAAGGCTTATGAGGAGGTTAATATAGGCTCTTGGAGTTGAGTTAAACCGACTGTTCTAGTGGTTTGCGATGCAAAGTCAGCCATGCTTAATGTATTCTTCATTTGTCTCAACACTGCCTCTCGAGTGGCTTTGGCCGGTATCACTTGACATACATCACTTGACCTGTGTCACCGACACATGTACACGTTTCTGGCAGCAGGTGTCAATGACAACAACTTGCAATGGGTGTAGGAGGGTGACCAAAGGCGCGGTCGTAGAGGAGGATCTTGAGACAGCCTGCAAGAGAGGGGGGAGGGGGGTGGTGAAGGTGAAGGGACTGTGGGATGGAGTTACAAAGAATGGGACAGAGAGCCCCACCGCCGATGATGGAGCGGTCAAGGCAGGGGACATGGAGGAGGCCAGAGTCCGCTTAGTGGAGGGAATGGACAGGGTGGTATGGAGTTAGCAGGTCACAAAGGTAGGGAGGAGAAATTGTCTTATAGTGCTCAAATGGTGCCCTTCTTCACAGGCTAATGTCTTGGAGCGCTTAAGCTGCTAAAGACCGATAAAGGTGTGGGAAGGTTTGTCATTCCCTGCATTGGACTCGTCAGTTCTGTGTTCCGTACCTTTGCCATTGCCATCGCGCAGCTGTGTCCGTAAATCTCAATGAGCTGCTGTTGTCCAAATCTGTAATCTTCGAAGAGTTCCTTTTCCATGGCATTTGCTTCCACTTTACTGCAAAACAAAAACACACACAGAGAGAATGAAGTGAGCACAGGGCATCATTCTTCCACATGTTTCAGTTGCTGGTCAGTGCAATGTGTGTAAAAAAAAACATGAGGTTAACAGGACTTTGTGAACACCCTGAACAATAATTATTCTGCTGAAGATGACAAGTGTTTGATCAACAACACCACCACCTTGCATTTATATAGCCCCCTTCACGTAGGGTAGTGTCCCTGAGCGCTCGACAGTGGCGGATCGAAGAGATTTGGCCACTTTTGCATAGTTTCTCTGCAATCCCATTGAGCCTAAAAGAACGACGGAGATATGGGTGTTAGCGGTTGAGCAGAGGTAGCTCTGATCTTACGAGGAAGCTAAGCTTCCAATTCAAACTCAACTCCGAATGCTGCCCAACATGCTCTGTGTTCATATGCCATCTGGTGGCTGGTCTCAGTATTGGTGTGTTGATTGACCCCCCCCCCCCAAAAAAAAAAAGTTGGCTCAGTGGGTCAATGCACCAATGTAGCTGAACCACACAAGCAGGACCTTCCCATGCTTATCGCCCAGTCAGTGCAGAGACAGCTGATCTCAGCCAAACTGAAAGCGTGGGTAGGGGAGGAAGGGAGGCATGTTACCATTGCCCACAGCATCCCCGGGCAGGAAAGAAAAGAATTAACAAGAGTTCCTGTTCCGGGTCACCAGCCATTCTCCTGTTGGAGGATCCGTTTGTGTGGGCATGAGGTGTAATTCTGCGTGTCCTGTTATAAGCCCACAAAATACACAGTCACTACACTTTACAGTATATGTGGTGAAGCGCTATGAGACGCCTCAACGACATGATAAGCGTGATATATAGTTTGGGACATGACATGTGCAAGTGACTGCAAGGATGATGAAAGGCGAACTGGATGGCCCTTGGTCTTGTTTTGCCGAGCAAACTCTTATGTTCTTGTTACAAATGCAAGGATTATTATTATTAATATTATAAACACGTAGGATGGCTATCAGGAGCGGAAACCCTGGCTGATTATTCTCCGCTCACAAACTCAAGCGTTGAGGCCAATCGCTGCCCTGTGTAAACAGAGAGAACTCAGCAAAGGCCATAAATCAATCCAGGAGCATCGTAGCTCAGCTACTCTCCGGATAACCCCACCCCCACCCTCCGCCCTGCCCCCCCGCTCCCCGGAAGGAACGCTGGCAATTTAATTTGTCGGTAATAATTCTGTCTCCCAGCATTATCCAAGTGAGTAAGGAAGGCTGCCCTTTGAGAAGATAATCAGCCTTTGTGATACCTCGGATTATTACGAAGAATGAATCAGCTTGAACGCCAATTAATTCCCTCGTGATCCTATTCACCGAGCAAAAGTGTCAAGCCTGGAGGCACAGCGAGACAATTCCAAAAAGGCAAATCCCTTTTGAAGTCCGGACAAACTCTGGCTTCGAGTGCAATGTTATAGAAACCCAGCGCAGATAGTCAGGAAGGAAGACATCTGTTTGATCTCTGGAATCTCTGCAAATGCACATCGAAACGACCGACATTATCATTATCATTAGGGTTTCCGTACAGCAGAGCGATATGAGTCAGGACCAGAGACTTCAACATAGTAATCTTTTGCGTTTGATATAGAGATGTAGCGCTTTATCCTATAGTGGGTCTCAAAGCGCTTCACAGGAGTTTGCTGTGAAGCGTAGTGACTGTGTGCTTTGTAGATCAACGTGGCAGCCATTATTTTCTTACGATGAAAACAGACGCTTTAATTGAAGATATGGACTAAGTGACTTATCAGAGGAACTTAATTTTCTAGCCAATGGAAATCGACTTTGTGTCGCTGGGGTAGTGGAACTGGGACATGGAGTAGGGCCCAATACCGTGATATCTTCCAACCATTCGACTGTGGGGGAGACAGAGAGAAGCCACTGCCCTGAGGAAGGGAAATCTAACAACAGGGTTGCCTGTAAGGATAGGATTTTGAGAGGATAACAGTGAAATATTATTCCCGGCAAGTACATAAATTGGTAGCGGGGAGGGGGATGGGGTTGGGAGGAAAGAGAGAGAGAGTGGGACACAGAACCTCAGGATTGTCAGTGGAAAAGATAAAGGGAAAGTCAGATTTTTTTTCTGCGCTGATGCTTATTAGGATATGGAATTGTTTGCTGTCGAAGCTAAAAAAAAATTAAAAAAGGAATTGGATAAATATTTTTGGAGAAGAGTATCAAAGGTATGGGGGAAAGAGCAAGGAGCAACTGAGATTAGAGTTTATACATCCAACATAGAAGTTAGCGTCAGCAAAGGTTTGACGAGCTCCTAAATGGCCTCCTCTGTGTTATAATTTGTCCCAGGAAAACAGACGTCTCAACGTGATAAGGTGCTAGAGAAATGCAGCATCCATCTAAGTACTAAGATCCACTCACTATTCTTCCTGTTGTTTGCATCGTTGGCTGAACAGAAAAGAAAACAGAGAAAATGAATCTTTTTTTTAAAAGAAGAGTCTGGCAGAAAATATAATCATTTGCCACTCACTAGGCTTGGCAGCTGCTCCTTAAGTGAAGGTTTAATTCTGTGCCATTTATCTGAGAATGGAAGTGTCGAGGGCTGGCTGAGTCGAGTGTCCCTAATCATTATGTTCAAACACATTTGATTTGATTTCGGCAATCATCCCCAAATTGATGTGGCGTGAAAAGGACGTCCAAACAAGTGCTCCCAGAACTACGGCTCAGAGACACAAACAACAAATGCACTGAAATGACCAGAAACCTGAACCCTCTCGTGCAAATCGCGTCAGCATCAACACCCCCAACGTCAAGGCTTCTCTCCTGAATTGTATGACTCTGGAGATAAATACGAAATAACAATATAATACTTCTATCTGAACGATGCCTTAGAACGTCCAATTGTCTCAAAGCAAGTGAGAGAATCACAGAACGTTCACAACACAATAAATTATATTTGTACAGTGCCTTTCACGTCGGGAGGACGTCCCAAGGCAGTCAAGGATTTGCGCCTGAGCTGGGGGTTGGGATCAGGAGGAGTGGAGGGCAGGGATCTGGGATCAGTGTATAATTCCACCTTCTTCTGTGAGCTTTCAGTGTGTGAGAATTAAATTTTCATATTAATAATATTAAATATTAACTCCAAGACTGCTGTGCGCAATTGGCTGGTGCGTTTCGCCCAGAAAATACTCAGTCAATTCATTTTGACTTTGTGGTAAGGCGTTATATTAAAGATTATTATTGTTGTTGCGAAGAGTTGCACAATTGGAAAGAGTTGCGTCCTGTAGTTTCATCGGATGTTTTAGGTAAAACACTGAGAGTGATGAGTCAATGTTTTGCTGCACTGACTGCAGTCTCCATATTGATGGAAGGGATTGATTGACAGCTCTCTCTCTAATCCAAGGTGCAGGGAACTCAGCTTCTTCTGGGGTTGATCTTGACCTCACGCTGTCAGCTTAGCTCGCACATGATGCCCCCTCCCTGACACACAGCGCGAGATGGAATGAAATCTTTAAAGATACCTGGAGGATGCGTCAGGCAGTGTGCACACATGGGTGATGTGCTTTGGGGCTAATCGCCATTGATTAGCGAGATGCTGCATACAGTGGGGGTGTGTGAAGCCTGCATCTCAGAGTTACACTGGCGGTGTCTGGAAGAGACACTGACGCTGTTATTCCAGTTTGGTTTCATGAGAAAGGAGCTGTAGCCTGAACAGATTGAAGTCGGTAATATCAGGATACACACACTGCATATTAATAGACACTCCAGCACCTGAGCCCCAACCAACAGCCTAGTGACTGCAACACAGACAAGACAACTGCAGATAAGGATCCCTGGTCTGTGTCGATCTCAGGAGGTGCAGCTGCCGTTACCTTCAGCATTACATGGGTTAAGGAGGTAAAAGTTAGCCAGGGCTCCTGCTGTTGATGGCAACCCAGAGATCTGGAGGAAGTGGTTGAGCATCAATTTGTACAGTGCTTTCATACAAGTATGTACTTTGCCTCCAAAACACACGGTCTTTACACCTTGCAGTAGAGCCTGGAAAACCCTTTGGGACGTCCACCCGACGTGAGAAGGCGCGATATCAAATGGAAAGATTATTATAGGATTTACTTACTTACTTATGCAGAACTTCCTCATTGGAAATTGATCCTTCTCAATGTTCCTGGTTTCTGTTAAAGAGCCAGTCGCCTCCCATAGGTCGCATATTTCCAGGTACCCAGTTATGACACATGGAATCGTTTACTAGGAAATCCCATTTGAAATTGACATTGCTCTTTCTTTAAATGAACACTCCACCAGCCTCCAGCTCTGCGTCTTAATGGACATGCAAGTTAAGGGGTTTGGGACGTGGGCACCTCATCAAACACTCCAGCCTTTTCAGCTTCTAGTGCACCAACCAGACTACGTGCAGTAATTGAGGAGTCTTGCTCTTCAGTCTAATCTTTCTCCTTCTCTTTATCTAACTGGCTTCAGGAGCTTTACCTACAAACCCAAACTCATCCATGTGTGAAATCAAATGCTCAAGTCTCAGACATTTTCACGGGCACGCCTGATTTGTTTTTCTAATGAAAGTTTTGTTCATTCATCCAGTGTTGAATAAGCAGCTCAATTTTGTTTCAACGGGTTTGGCATTCCGTCGCTTGGTAAGAATGTTTTACCCGTAGTGGAGCAAAGCGGAAAGAGGAGACATTGTGGCGATTGAGACAATTAACAATAATAAAAAGAATAATCATTGCATTTGATGCAGCGACTTTCACATTGGGAGATGGTCTCAAAGTGCTTCACAGGGTTTACTGTAAAGTGAAGTGACTACAGTATTTTGTTGGTGGAAGACAAGTAGCCGGGGGTTTCAATTCCATTTAGTCCTTCCCTAAGCTGCTTGGAGCAGGGTTGGACAAAATGGAATGCATTTATATAGCGCCCTTCACGTGGGGCAGTCTGGGAATGCTTAACAGTGGCGGAGCCTGACACAGAGCCGGGGGGGTGGAGGAAGGGAGAAGTGTCCGTAAGCACGGTCA